AATATTGCTTTTTCCAAACAACATCGCTAGCGACTTTGAAGGATTAATGTATAATCAATGTTCTTCAGACGTACGAACAATTCTGTAAATATCACAATTCATGTGCTCAATAGCCTGAGCGATGTTGTCGTGGGGAAAGTCATAATGAAGTTGCGTGTCATCTGCATATTGATGAAACTTGGCGTGTTGTAGACATTTGTAAAAATTGGACGTGTATAATGTGAATAATAGAGGACCTAGAATAGAGCCTTGTGGGACCCCACAGCAAATCGGTAGTGCATCAGATTTAGTATTATTTACTAGTACCAGTTGCTTACGATCTTTAAGATATCTTCCCATCAATGTACTTGCATGCGAGCCTAGGCCAACATAATGTAATAAACTTATTAAAATTTCATGACTAATTGTGTCAAAGGCCTTGGAAAAGTCAAGCGTTACTAATATGGAGAGTTTATTTTTATCATATAAACATTCATTTTTATTTGCATACAGTGTGTCCATGGATTGAGTGCACATGTGACATGATGTGCATATGACACATTCTTTTAGAGTTGGATCTTCTGAGGATCCTCCCCGCTTAGTCTCAAACTAAGATATTGAAAAAATGAGCCCAATCAATTAAAATACAGGGTGTTTTTTTGCGAATTGTAAAAATTAGTGACGAGTAAGGTGTCTATATTTTAACTGATATAACAAAAATGTATAGGTATTAAAAAAAGTGGTTTAGAAATTCAATTTTTATACAAATCAACGTGCTTTGATCTTTGTTACAAACATGCGTTCAAAAGCATTGGATGCTCATGAAAAAATCAAAGTGGGCTGGATTCTTATAAAAATTGAAGGTCTTCTATAACTCTGACTTCAAAACAACTTTATGTACGACTGCTTGATAATGCGGTGATTACAGTCGCAATTAGATAAAGTACGTGTTAGGGAATTCAAAAACGTCACTTGCATGTACCTACTGACGATAGATAAACTTCGTTTTAAAGATTTTAAAGTTTATTACCTCCTATTGGATCATAATGAGCAACGTTGATTTATTTATTACCGGAAGAGTTCTCCGCAAAAGACCATTTTCTTTCATCCAGGAAACGAGCTGTTGCGGAAGCATGTGCCATAATCATTAAGGCGTCAGTTTGATGGAAGTTGTTCATTAACGAATTGTAAAATAACTAAATGGGATTTTTTCACTAACAAAACATGCCAATCAGTTTGTACTCTACCTTCATACAAGAATTTGCTAACATCATATGTACAATTAAAACGAATGTTTGTTCTTCTTTACAAAAATTTCGAAATGAAAACATATTATATACTTAATTGTTCCACTGTGTATATTACATTGTGTATATAGGCGCATGACAAATGCAAAGTTAACTTACCTTGGCTAAATAAGAATTAATCCAATTGACAAAGGTCTTCTTTTGAACTCTTTCCTGTTCATCTGTCAACAAGAGAAAACAATTATAATTTAAGTGAAACTATAGTTACGTAATTATATTCATTAGCACCTTATTTTATGCGAAACTCAGTTTGCGACATAACTCAATTTAGAGTTTACTGATGGAGCATTGAATAATTTTTTATGTTATTTTTCAAATGATGCACGCATTTCTTATATCACCGTGTCACGCAAAGTTTCGGCACGTGGCACGTCCTACTTTGCGAGAAATATTTCATTTTTGATTCGTTATCGATATCGTCGAAACGTTTGCCAAAAAGCGAAATTCAGTTTTCCTGACAGATTGCCGGTAATCCGTTAATTGGTTGTTGGCGTTTTTTTATGTGCGAAATAATTGTCAAGGTTTGCGTAATTAAAAGTGTGACGACATTTTTATTGTTTCAACTCATAATGGGAATCGCACCTCGACTGATCTTTTAGATTTTCTAGCTTTTTAAATCCAAAATTCTTCTATCCCACGAACTTGTAAAGTCAAAAATTGTTGATCTTTATTAAAGTATTTTACCTATAACAAGATTCTATGGTAACTTTCAAAATGTCAGTGGTTGGGGTTAAAAATTTTGAATTCTGCTTTTGTTCATTACAAAAAGTGTATCAGCTGCAGATTTTTTTCTGCTGGTGTGAGGTGGTTTTTCACTCGCATTGTTCGTGCGATTTCAATAATTTTTACCCCCCCGATACAGGTGGTAATAAATTACGTTGCAGTAAGTACTTAAAACTTCATTAATTTCCTTCACACTGAAAGACCTACAAAAGTATTAATTTCCTTCCAGTGCCTTAATCAATAAACCACAATGGGCAGAATCGATTACGCGCTTAGCTTCTTGAATAGAATAGATTACCTATTCTCTTTCATTATACGTAAAATTGCTAAAATCCAGGTGACTTAATTTACTTGACATCTACATGTCTTTTTTAAAATCCCTCGCACGCGACGAGGTCTTTCGAAATGTTCGATAAATTCGCGATTAGTAAAAAGCATCGAGGAATTTTATGCCAGGCCAAGAAACACAGAGACGTCCGTGTCAACCGTTCCAAAGTTGGCATTCCGTGAACGTTTCTTTTGGATGTCGCGTTGTAAAATTTTAAACTAGAATTAATTGCATTTTGTAAACGGTTAATTTGTAGCTTGTCGCAAACGTCTAGTTTTCTTAATAAGGCAGTTTTATCGATACATTTAAGTAAGTAATAGACGACTGAATGTGTACATATAGGATTGACTAACTAGGTTAACATGATATTGCGGTAACAGCTGTTCATGTTTTTTTGAAACGATGTCTTTCGGTTTGAAAGGTACTGTATATGTATAAGAAATTGGGACAAACATGGGTGATCAAAAAATATGTTTTCCAAATTAACCGAGGACCCAATGTTGAGCTCTAGGTTGAGCTACCATCAAAAAAGAGTGCATTTCTACTTTAACTTATTCTCTACAGCTACAAACATGGTACTTTGGATACGTTTTTAGCCATGCCCTTTCAGACTTTACAGAAATTTGTTTAAAATTCGTACCACCCCATTTCGACCAAATTTGGTGTATGGGAGTTTTGGAGCATAAAAATCGTGAATCTTAAATTCTAACTAAAGACTCAACTAAATTCTCATGTAGAAAATGTTCAAAATAACATGTACCTACAGGACATTCGCGGATAATTTTCCAGATAACGAAGATAACGAATTTTTTTCATTTTAGCAACGCCAACGAAATACGAAAACAATGCAGAGGACGGGGGAAATTGAAACAACACTGTTTCGCATATTCCACTTCGCCATTTTCATTTTCAATATGTCCACTTGAACCACGTCCAAAAGAAGGATTTTCGGTTAAATTGTTTTTCCAAAATGTTAGTCTGATGCTATTCAATAAAAATTAATTTATTATTGCTATTATTTCTTCTCGCATCCTCCCCCCCCCCCCCCCCTCCTTCTCCCAGGATAGCAATCACGAAATTCGAAATTTGTAGCTTCTTTCAAAACGACATTCAAAAAGTTGATGGGGTTGAATAGTTTAAGGAATGACTTTCCTAAACTTTATCATTCAATATTTTACGGTAAAAAGTTCCTTCTGTAAAAGTTGGGGTGGATGACTTTTCCTTTTTTCTCAGAGGCTAAGGTAGAGTAGATTTAAAAATTGCATTTGAATTTTGTTCTAAATTGTGATTCTCCATATTAAAAATGGATAAACTGCACAGAGGTAAGTTATAAGAAACTATACATACCTATTTAGTTTTTTAGGTATCTAAATGGGGGTTTACAGTATAGTTGAATTCCGCAGTTCTAATTTAATAAGCGTGTACCTACCTGAAACCATAAAATATTTTTTTGGACAGTAAAAGTTTATTTAAAAATAGAGGCTGATTAGCAAAAAAATAATGAACATGTGCGGTTTTAAAGGTTTATTCAAAACGATATGATCGTGGCGGGCTCTGTGACGTAATAAGCCCGACCAATCAGCTCCTAGAACCATTCAGATGACATAACGACTTGGCAATATTGCAAGAGAATGGCATTTATAACTTGCGTCATCTGTCACAGGCACTTGTCACTTTCGTGCTAGATGCAGTTAAACATCCCTCTCAAAACGTCAAATGTGCCAAACGTCAGACCCTCGCGTAAGGTTGCCAGCTCACTTCTACGTGATTGGTTGTAGGTTTGTGACGTGTTTAGTCTGAAGCGTTTCAAATTCGGACTAAAAACACAGCTTTTCAATAATTTATTTTGGGTTTATTTTACTCGCAAATAAAAATTGAGGACACACGGGTCTTTTTATTTTTAATGTACTTTGTGGATCAGAAATAAAAAATGAAGGCGGGATGACCCCGTGACTCTCAAAGTTTGCATATTTACTGCTAAATATGCAAATTTTTTCGCGATACTGTGCGATGGATTGGCTCAAATAATGACAGCTATGCAGAAAAAAAAATGTCACATTCATTTTAAGAAGAGAAATTTTGTACCTACGTTATGGGTTGCACCGACTCGGATATACTATCGGGTTATCCACGCACTAATTCTTATAGACTAAAAGTGGTATTAGTTTTCATTAGATCCGACCGTGACATATACAAATATTTAAATAATGACCTACTTTTGTCCTCCGTTTCCAATGAGGTAAACAGCATAGGTGCTAAATAATTGATGGATTCGGTCTTAAAGACATAAACCTTTTTACAAGTTGAAATGCTTATACGCTAAATTGCATAATGTGTTTATAAGCAATTACTGAATATTTATGACGTACCGCTTTTTTGTATGCAAGAATTTATGCGCCACTAACGCGTTAATTTCGTAGTGTGTTTTCGGTATAAGGTCAACCTTGTTATGTTATGAATGACTTCACTTCGCCCAAATATGTCTGTCGAGACAGTGGGATCAGTCAAACCATATGAAAAAATAGAAAGGGAATTGAATATGTGGAGAAGCACCATCTTGTTGAAAGACTATTGTGGCAATTTTGTAAAATAAAATTACATTTCTGAACTAGAAAAAGCTCAGCTGAAAAATTCATCTGTTACTAAACTCTTCTTGTACGCATCTACAGCGGATGAATTTCCAGACCGTTGGTGCACCAGAGTGCAATAAAACATTAAGATCAATGTACTTGAAATTGAAACGAGTGTGAACATAAAAGGACGCTGTAGATATAATAAAAGATGCCATTTCGAGTATATTGTACTAACTGCGCGTAATACTGGCACAACAATAACGTAAATTAAAATTCTTAATGTTTATGGCGTGAGTCTGCAGTTTGAATTTATGGACCATCTTTTACTTTTGTTCCAGCAAGTTTTATAGTTCTTATACAATTAAAGCGTGCATTATTAAAAATGATTAATATAATTTGTGACTTTTACGATGGCCGCAATTGTAATGTCGAAGGAAGTCGAGAGACTTTTGCACTTTCTTTTACTTTAATGGCCACAAGACGTCCAGTTTCAGGTGTTATGTACTAATTCTAAAGTTTATGTGACGAGATTCTTGCGAAAACTTGCTCACATCCAGGTAAATTCGCGCGTCGGAATATTTGGTCACCAGCAATTTCTAAGAGAGTTCGTTTTTAAAGGATGGACTAATTCAATTTACCGAAACCGCACATACAAAATTCACTAAAAATATGCTATTGCTTGCGATTTTTCTGTGCGTCTGTCCGTCCGTCGGACCCACTTCTGCGGTGGGTTGGACATTGGTTTTACCTTTCATGGCATTCTAATTAAAGGTCTCAATTAAATGAACTGTTTTCTACCCACTACCGTCCTTCTCCTTTGCCTCTTATCAAAATCGGGGGGGTTGGTTTTATCCTTCATGGTACTCTAATTTAAGGATTAAACGAAAGGAATTAATTTCTACCAACCACAGTCCTCCTTCTCGACCTCTTATTGTGATCGGTTATAATTCCCCACATCTCAAGACCAGAGGGTCGGAGGAGCGTACTCACAAAGGTGACAAAGGGCAAGTGAGACGTCTGGATCCTTTGGCGATCACAAAACTTTAAGACCAAATAAACTCGAAAACGGTGTATCGGAGGAAAGTACAGAATTAATCGTTTGGACGAGACGAAACGAATATCCCGAAAACGAAGTGTCGGAAGAGGTACTCACAGAGGGCAAATGGAACGTCTGGAAGGCACATAGGTATCTTTTGGTGATGTCGAACCTTTCAGTGCAAATATCTGTAGAGCGGAGTATCGGAGGAGGGTGCTCTCTAAGGGGTTGATTTTTCTTGAATTATATTCGGTAGGTTTTACTGTGTGCCTTTAAATGTTTACGTCTAAAAAGCTCACTTCCCATTAATCACCCTTATAACCCAATTATTTACTAAGCTATTTCGGTTTTTAAAAAATGTACTTTTTCTGCACTCCTTGATGAGTTAGAAAGAGGGGGTTTTAGGTACTAAATTGGGAAGAATTATTCTGTTGAAAAGCTAGAAATTCGACGTGACTAAAAAAAGGTGCGGATTGAGTAGGTACGTAAACGCGTTTTGGTCTCGTAATTAAATTCGGCGAGATCGATATAAATTTTCAGTCTGAAAGCTCGATTGCGAGTAAGTAATGCGTTGGGAACTTTCGTGAAACTGCATTGGAAATGCTGCAGTCTGTGTGAGAAATTTTGTTGAAAGTTAGTCTTCTTTCTTTTATTTCACCTGTCGTCGGCTTTATGCAAATTTAATTGATCAATGTCTAGCTTGTTCCACACCGAACTCTGCATAATCTAAAATTTCGAACCAACAATTCCTCTTTGGTTAAAATTTGCATGGCTTCTTTTTTTTGAAATATTGTAGTTTGAGTCGTAAATATAATTCGAAAATCAATACATTTAAGACACATGCGTACGGTTTTCGATTGGAAAATCCATATGTCTTAAAAGTTCTAACACGCCGGCTACTGAAGATAATTAAACTAAGCTAATCGTAAGTAAATATAAATGCTGACCTCTGATAACCGCAATATGGTTGTCATACTGTGACCGGCTTCTGACATACTCCAACTTTGACGAGCCACTTTGGAAGCTCTGATTTCTGTACTCGTTGTACCATTCTGCCGACGAGGTTGTGTGCTTGCTGCTGTTGCTTCCGGAATCCCAATCGTCTTTCAACGCCTCTTTGGATGGCGTTCTCCTAAGGCTCTCCTCCGAAGGAAAACGCCCAGACAAAGAAGTAACGCTGGACGATTTGGAATGCGACGTTCCATTTTGAGTTTGGTAAGCGGAATCTTCGAAATTCCTTCCTTCCGATTCGGACGGCGTTCTGCTAGTCGTTCGAATAGTTCTGACTTGTTGCACGGTTTTTCGCACGGTCACCTTTTCGAATTTGACACTTTTGAAACTGGAGGCCAGATCGCCTTCTTCCTCAGTCTTAAACACGCTTTCCTCGAAGGAGCCATCGGGGAAGAAATGCTGACGTAGTTCGGTCGCTTGGCGCGGCGAACTTTGCGGTGTATGCCTGAGGGTTACCTGCTCTAATTGTGCCGAAGGGACGTTTTTTCGCCCTTCCTCGATTAACCGTTCGAGTTCACCCACATTCAGCGTGTCCTGATCTTCGAGCGAGCCGCTGGCACTGGTGCCGGTCCACACTTTTTCGAAAAAGCTGACCCGATCCTTTAAACGTTTGGCACTTCCAGAAGGGCTCTCAGGGGGACGTTTCGAATTCTCCCCCTGACCTTTGTTCGCGTCACTCATAATTAAAATGCTCGTTGCGATCGCGCTTCATCATTCCACCGGTTTTTACGTTTCGCGGTATCGTTCAATACTAGACATGAGCGTAGATGAAAGGCGGCGAAACGAGGCTACAATCAATGACGAGATTACTTCGAGTAGTGTCGAGTTTCATTGTTTGTAACTGAAAAAGCTACCGAGCGGCCGCTGTTTGAACAACCTTGCGTTTCTACATGGCGATGATGTCAACTGTTTTCGACCGGCTTAAAGGTGCGCCCCAATCGAAATCTCCGAAATTAATACCCCAATTACGTAATTAGCATCTCCACCGAAAACCGATCTTTCGCCCTTATTTCAAGTTCGAGGATCTTGCGCAGACTTCGCGGTAATTTCATACAATCGACGTTCGACAATCGAAAAGTGAAATCGTATGTGCAATGTTCACCGCGCCCACCTACGACGAAATTTAAATTCTCCATCACATACAAAAAGAAATGCGGCGAGATGAAATTATGTCAGATAAAGTTATCTAAATTAAGTAGATAAATTCATGGGAATGGGTTCACTTAAAAATTTCGTTTCTTAGTGTCACTTTTTCTACCAAAAATACCTGCCATACGTTATGCAAAATACGATTTAGCCATTCGCGCGAGTGCAATGGATTTATTAATTATTTTATTTCCGCATATCGAAATATTCGCGTGGACGATCACAAAAATTAGTAAAGTAGGCAATATAGATGGAAAGATGCAAGTTAACAGTGCAATCCATTTTTTTAACGTAATTCGTTGGAGAAATGCCTTCGATTTAATTAACTACTTATAATAGGTACAATTCCTGTTCCTCGTACGAAATCGAAGGGACTTCAACGCATTTTTATATGGCAGGTCGGTATTCTTTGACTCCACCATCAATTAGATCTTGTCGGGGGCGACCACATTCCTATCTAAAACAATTCGTACTTTTTCGATCGGACTTCTCAATCAAAAGTTATGGACTAGAAACCAATTTCGAAAGAAAATTCAAAGGGCTGTAACTTTTGAACTAGAAGCCCAATTTTGGAACTGTTTGAAATTATGGATTCTACAGGCCACATTCTATAAGAAAATTGTTTCCGGGTCGAGCTGAGACAATTTTTTTTTCGGAGCTCAAAAAAAGGCAGTGTATAACCTTCCTTTTTTACCAAAAATCGACTGCACCAAAATTTCTCGAAAAAACACTTTTTCTTATTAATTTTGGTGCGTAGAATCCAAAACAATTCGTACTTTTTCGATCGGACGTCTCAATCAAAAGTTATGGACTAGAAAGAGGGGCGGACTGGCCCGGGGAGGCGGGTGGCGATTGCCACCTGTCCTGTACGTCATAATGGCCCGTTGGAAATTGATAAGTATGTGCTGTATTTAGTTTCTTGCACTATTAATAAATTATTAACACGTTTCTCTAATTGGGGTTGATGTTAGGTTGCTAAAAAATTAAAAAATTCTGTTTTAATTGAAGTGTTTTACAATGAATTTATCATTTTTTGTCGTAGCATGAAAGTGCTGAAATACAATGATAGGTGACGCGCCTCGTTTGGATTGTATATTTTGTTACTTTTAATTATCAGCTGCAATTAAAAAAAAACTGTATTGTAATTGATTTCCGAAAAAGGAGTACTAAAATGAAGCAAAAAAATGTTTTTGTGGTGCACCGCAGAGCACCCCCCCCCACCCCCGCACCCTTCATTACTACACTGATACTTTAATGGCCCGTAACCTATGCAATTCCACCTGGCTCGTAAGTACCCAGTCCGCCCCTGCTTGTCGGTATCAATCAGATTCCCATTATCGGTACCCAATTCCGCCGTCCCGGTCCCGTTGTCCCCTTCATCCGCAGCTCGCGTTTTAAGTTTTGACTCCACCATCAGTAAGATTTTGTCAGAGGCAACCACATTCCGTTTGTCGCTACCCGCTTCCTACGTCCCCTTCGCTCGCAGTTTGCATTTTGGGGGCACTTCTCATAGCTCAAGCTTCTATTGGCGACACGGGAAAGAGAGACCGCGATTCGAGCTCTAATAAAACTTTTGGGCGCCCAAAGTCGACTACCCCTCGAAGATGCGTGCCGTGCAAAAGGTGGTTAATTGGGCCTCTTGAAGAAAAAACCAAAATTCCGACATGCAGGAGTTGTACGCGTTTATAAGGTCTTTCCGACGACGCCAATTTGAAAACAGTTGGACGAATATTGTAGAAAATAGGAAAAAACTCAAACATTACCACGTTAGTATAACACGCTCGGAGATGGCTCCCAGATTTTGCCGACCTCAGCCCTAAAGTTGTTAACTACACAGCAGCGGTAGGTACATGTACTATGTACACTCCTCCTCTTTCTACAAGCGTCCTTCTACAGGCACGCATTTGCTGCGAACCAGCCAGCCGGCCAAATAAATTTGTAAAAATGCGCCAAAAAATGCTGGTGGCCAGTACAGATATCACCTGCACGATGCAATAGTAATATGGAAAAAAATGAGCTTTTTTCTGCCTTTTATGTGTACCAAATTTGGTTCCAATCGGTTCTGCCGAGGCCTACGGTTCTGCCATTTAGTCGGAAATGAGAGTACAGACAGACTGACCGACATCATCGAGATTTTGTTTGATTGGGATTCCTGGTGCTTCAAACGTGTATTTCCGTCAAAAAAGTGGGTGGTTATTTTATACCACAGTACAATACCTCCCTTACTAGTTACTGTGCGGGTGGAAAAAGTAAGTGTGAGTGTTTTAGAGCGAATCGCCTTCTTTTAATGTGTTTAATCACCCCTTAAAAATGAAATCGCAAGACTGTTAACACTAACACCCTATATAGGTACGTCCTTCCTGCTGCATGCTCTATATAAACCTCTCGCCAGGAAAGATTGCCGGTCACAGAACACTTGATCCCGATCTACGATCTATGTTTTTCTAAAGATGTAAGCGATTTCCGGGATAGTATCGAGTCAATGTTGAACAAAAAGACTTTCCGCTCAACATTAGCATGATCCTATTCTGGAAGTCGCTCACATTAAGAAAAACATAGATTGTAGATCGACACAAGGTGTGCTGTGACCGGCAATCTTTCCTGGCGAGAGTTATAGTTTTATTGTGTTTTTAATGCCATATTTGATGAATGAAATAAACGACTCAATTCTTCAAAACCTTCCCCATGGATATTTAATTGTTGACAGACAGATATATTGTGAAATGTTACGACATGTTTCGATTGTTAATCATCTTCAGGTAACAAACTAAAATATTTAAAATTAAATTATTAATTAAATAATTTTTCTCACCGTACTTATAAGTAAGTGTTTTTAATAGCTATCTAGTCAACGGTTTAACTTTAAATATTTTAGTTTGTTACCTGAAGATGATTAACAATCGAAACATGTCGTAACATTTCACAATGTCAACAATTAAATATCCATGGGGAAGGTTTTGAGGAATTGAGTCGTTTATTTCATTCATGGTTCATCACCCCATTTTGAGCATGGATCAACCACAACCAATAGCTTTTTCTGGCCATATTTGATGTTATGTGTTATGGAGTTTTGCTTGTTTGTTTAATCTAATTCCACTGTTGTCATCTTACAAGTAATAATTAATTAATCGCCGCTGTTTGTTGTGATTTAAAAATCAGGTCGCGATGAGAGATGTGTGAAGCTGTGCCTGCATATGATGCAATTCTTTAATATTTGGCCGTTTTCTCGTAAATACAACGAAAAAAGCACTTGACTCATTTGCATCGAAAACACCAAGTTTAATAATCATTATTTATATATAGAAGTGGCATAAGCTAACGGAAAATAAGTATGACCGAACAATTCTAAAAATTTGTTACCATTACCTACAATTTGCATTACTTAAAAGTGAACGAACTTTCTTCAAGTCAAAACGTGTTCCTCCTACATGCATGGCAATTGTTTATAGTTTTGTAGTGAGAAGTAACTGAATCGAATACGGTACATGATCTCGTTTCGAAAACTTTCACGACTATACGAGATCAAATGGTTTGCAAAATGTATTTTGATGTACTCAGTTTAGATTCTAAAATTAGACGTTACGTGCCTTGTTTGACGAGTAAATGTTTAATTAGGTTATTCATTAGCTATTTATCGTTACGTCGCGTTTACCTTTGAAATTTAACTTTTGGATTAGAAAGAAACAAAGCCTACGTGGCTAGATTGACTGGCTTCCTTTTGCATTAATCAAACTGTCGATAGATAATGGAATTACACCTTCGCCCTCGCGGAGTTCTGGTGGCCGAACAAGTTCCTTTAACCAAAGATACCAGAGTAATGATTAAATATTGACATTAAAGTGATAGATTTCGATTACTAGCAAAGGCCATTGTTCTACCAGTAAAAATTATGCGCTTATATAGACTAAGCGTGATATATTGATTGTAGGTATAAATAAGGGTGCACCATAAATAAGTTATTGGCGTTGTTCAGATATAGGCGAATTTTCGTTTTCTCCAATAAGCAAGTTTTCGTACAGTAGTCCAAAACCGCCATACAAGCAAACAAATAAACAAAATGTAGCCCGTTTTTGAGTTTCCTAAAATTACCATAAGGGCCTTATGGTAACGGGCAATCAAAAATGAGTTGCTGTCGAGTCGCCTTTGGAAGTTCAAGTGAAACACGGTGTAAACAAAAATTCCAAAGGTAACTCGACAGCAACTCATTTTTGATCGCATAGTTACATAGTATAAAGCTGGATTCACGTGAATACGAAATCCGACGATACGGTCATCCGAAATGCTGATGATTGGTCAATAATTTGAAATGTGCTTGGCATTTCAAACTATTGACCAATCATAAGCATTTCGGATGACCGTATCGTCGGATTCATATGTGTGAAATTTTGATACCTAATCACGCATGCTAAAATGACATTACTTAATTGTTTCCATAGAGATTTCAAAATAATTAAAACAATCAGTGTCATTTTTAATGCAGTTTATGCTTTGTACTTTTCAACTATACAGTATTCAGTATTCAGTAATGTTTATTGTTCAACAGACTTAGTAATCCATAAATGAACAATTATAAAAGTAAATATAGAGGCGTATACATACATTATTATTAAATTATTATAAAAAAAGTAAAATAAAAAAAAAGATAAATGGAATATAATTGTTACAAATTAGTAAGAAAAGTAAACAAACAATAACAGAAAAGGGTATGTGTATATAATGGTACACTTAATGTTGCAAAGAAAGCAATTCTATGAATGAAGGCAAAATAATTACAAAACTCTGTTAATTAAAAATAGAACTTAAAACATTCGATAAAGAATTATAATTAATGTCACAGTTCTGACAATACATATTATAATTACATACCATTATTAAAGATGGAGTTCTACGAAGAAGATTGGATTTTGGAGTAGGATAAGTGAAGGTGTCTAAATGCCTGGTAGAATACATTGGTATAGTAAATGACAGTTTTTCAAGTAAATAAGGACAATCTAAAGTATTGTTTACAAGTTTAAAAACTTAATGCTATTAGCTACTCGTCTTTGTTCCATTGAGTGAACGTCAAAACGTGCCAACAGCGTGTCCTGAGGAAAACCACGTTGCGGGTATTCGCTATCGATTTTGAAAACAATGTATTTTAAAAATCTTCGCTGAATGTTTTCAATGTCATGTTTATATACGTTGTATAGTGGATACCATACGAGGTCGCAATACTCGAGCTTAGAGCGCACCAAGGAGTAATACAAACGAAAGAGTAAATTGATATTTTTAAATTGTTTCGTATTTCTTATGCTAAATCCCAGGGTTTTCATAGCTGAGGTGCAAATCGAGTGTATGTGCTCCTTAAAGCTGAGACGAAAATCAAATGTGACGCCAAGATCTTTAACAGAGTTGACACGGCTAAGGCCAACTCTATCTATGTAATACTCATATAGTATCGGTTTTCGCTTCCTTGTAAATGACAACACCTTACATTTACTTATATTCAGTTTAAGTTTGTTTAATGAGCACCACGCATTTAAGTTATTTATATTCGCCTGTAAGTATAAACAATCATCGATAGAAGATATTTTTGCGGACATTTTAAGATCGTCGGCAAAAATAAGATTATTACATGAAAAACAATTCGAGATGTCGTTTATAAATATTAAAAACATAAGAGGGCCAAGATTTGAACCCTGTGGCACACCCGAGGTTACTTCAAGCATGTGTGATTTAAAACCATTGTACGAAACAAATTGTAAACGGTCATTAAGATAATAGCGAAAAAATGCTATTAACTCACAACTGAAACCAAAGCATTTTACTTTATATAACATTATTGCATGGTCTATAGAATCGAAAAGATGCCAGATTTGTAAGTGTGGACCTCTTTTGCATAAACCCATGCTGATGAGGAGAAATTATTCTTTGAACGGCAGGATAAAATGTAATTAAATATCGTTATTTCAAACACTTTAGAAACACTGGACAAAATACTGATTGGCCTATAATTTGACACTTCAGACAGATCACCACTTTTGTGAATTAGAATAATTTTTGCAATTTTCCAAATCGTTGGAAAAGAGCAGCACGACAGCGACAAATTGAATATAATACAAAGAGGAGAAAGCAATACGTTTTTCAAAAATTTGATGAGAAATGTTGGTATGTTATCATATCCGGTTGTTTGTTTGTTTTGCAAATGGTCAATCGCGGAAGCTACCATTGACTTGGTCATGCGAGGCGAAGGAATGATGGGGCAATTATTAAAAACGTCGTTATCTGACAACAGTTTTAATAACTAGGCACAAAAGCAGGTATCAATCAGTGAAGAAGAGTACCTACGCGAGACGTTATAATGTAGCCGAAGATGCGGCCGCCGTAGTGCAATATTCGCTCCCCACAAAGTCAAGAAAGTACGAAAAGGTGTACAAACCTTTTAATGAGTGGCGCAAAACTAAAGGAATAATTCCTTCCACACATATTTAATTAATTGTTAGAAATTAAAAAACCATTATCCTTTGTGTAGGTATATTAATATTTAAAAATATCCACAGAGTCTGCATTATAATTATCCAAACGTTGATTGAATAACTTATTCAATGAACGATCTAATTGTTATTTTGTAAGTACTAGGACTGTAATGCGAAAATATTACAGTACTAGTCAGGTAAAGATCAATTTTCTAATGTCAAAATAGCCCTGAAATTTAGATTTTCTTGACGGTTTCAGGTAAATGGATCTAATATTTTGCATACTAGGACTGTAATGTACAAAAATATTACAGTACTAGTCAGGTAAAGATCAACTTTCTAATGTCAAAATAGCCCTGAAATTTAGATTTTCTTGACGGTTTCAGGTAAATGGACATAGATATACAAGTACAGCAACAGAGGATGAAAATCGAGAGCTCACGAGGGAACAGTAGGTACAAGAAGCTCACAAGGGAGTGAATGCTGAAATACCTACAGAAGAGAAGAAGAAATATCAAAATACTTAATAGCGAGGAGAGCGGGAAGCAGAATTGAAGAAAAGAAGAAGGCAGGAGTGAAGTGCTGAAAGAGGAGCGAAGAGGAAAGGAATGTATGAGGATGATTATAGAAAAAAGGTAAAACGCGCATTTTTTTTTTGTAACTAATTTATCGTAAAAAGTTTTTACCAAATTGCGGTAAATTTTATCTCACTAACTAATTATAATCAATTCAGCTCTTGAACGTGGTACACAAAATTGTCGAATGCTGGTCCAATAAACTTAAAAGACAAATCGGAAACTACCAAAAATAGAATGGAATTTATTCCCAGTAACGACTTTGCACGCAAACTTCAATAGGAAAAAAAACGCTCACGCAACCAATGACGTCACGAACATCCAAAATTTTGATTGCCGTAAAACACGCTCATGGTAATTTTGACGTTTCAACTTTTGTTTTTAAAATCGTACAATGTGAGAAAAGTTACTTAATTAACTATTTTTAAACGTGAGCTACAACGTACGCTCCATGATAGTCCTTCATTGAGCGAATAACAGACCAATCGCTCAAAAACAAATGTGGAGACGCGATCCGAATATAATTCACGAAATGGTAAGTGAGAAAGTTGAAGGTCAAAATTGTTGCTAGGTTAATTGCATTACATAACAATGTAATGGTGTCAAGGTTAATTTTTGGTGAATATGATTTATTCTCATGTATTACGTTGTTAGTGACGGGAGGACGAGCGTTTGTTCTGTTGGTGAGTAGATAGAAAGTAGTGGTTTAGATAGTTCCCTCCTCCAAATCAAATTTTGGAGCAGTACAGTATACTTACACGTGATTTAAACGTAGGGGGAGTGGGGAATTATTCTTTCTGAAATGAGGTCAAAATTCATGGGTCATTTGGAATGTTCCCATGGTAGGTCGATTCCCTTGCTTCATTCATACCTAATAGTAATTGAATATTTGCAAATCAGACATATAGATTGGTGAATTTACCAATTACGAGTTGATGGGCCATATCCAAACATTTTCCGCAGTCTACTTATAGAAGTGGTCAAGTAATTTAATAATTCCTTGCCTTGTGATTTTTGGATTTTGATATATTCCTCCCTCGAAATACAGAAATTGTTGGATTGGATGCTACAAATAAAGTACTAAAATTATACTAAGTGAACCGTACACAATAAAGCTTGATTTTTAGTTGCTTGATTGGCTCCAAACCAATAGAAAGGAAAAAAAAGCATCTAATTTGATCGAGTCGCGTTACAAGTTTGGATTTCTGAAGATCAAGTTGCTAATGATATGCGGTATAATGTAACGTGAACCATATTTACAGCAATGAGTATGCATTGATTCACAAATATGATACTTACTGGTGGAGAGGAACGTTCGGCTCCACGAAAAAAAAATTTGACGAGCAACAAACCCCCACATAGAAGAGACAGGTAGATTTTCTTAAAACTACACGTGGCTTGTCAGAAAATTTTTGAACTTGGAATGTGACTGAGGTGACCTGTTCATTCAGGTAGCGAAAAGTCTCAGCTTCATTTTGTACCAATTCATTTCTCTTCCGTGTTTTTATTTGGAGTAATTGACGGTTCCCTCGCGGTTAGCCATTTGCACTGCATACGAAATTCGAAGTACCTTCGCGTCCAACGGAATAAATAAATCGACCTAATTCAACTGACCATGACAAAATTACTATGACGCTAATAGTGCAGAATGATCTTAATGCTGTTACGATCGTGGTAAATCAACAATAAACATTTACGAGAATTAGTAAATTGCTCATAGTCGGTTTTTATATCTTCGTTATCAAAAGTGAAGCAATGATAAGTCAAGGAATATTTACTTATCAGTCATTATAGATAATGCGTAACCAAACTTCCACAATATCACTTACTGTTTAAGCAAAATTTGTTGGTCGAAATGGACGACAACGAAATCGCAGAGGAGGGTGTTACAAATCCGCTGGACCTCTTCGTCAACGAGTGCAATGATTTGGATGCGGAGGTGAGTGCGCTTAAATTTTGCAATTTGCCGTGACGCGATCGGTGACGTGTCAATCGTTTTTTTAGGTGAGGATAAGTTCGATAAAAAAATTGGCGACCGTCGCAGTGGCGTTGGACGCCGAAAAGACGAGAACGGAGTTGATGCCGTACTTGGAGGACCTAACGGAGAGTATTTACAACGATGACGAGATCCTTATGAATTTGGCCGAACAGTTGGTACATTTCGTGCCGTTTGTTGGTGGTATTGAGCATGTGGAATCGGTTTTATGCGTCCTGGAGAAGCTCGCGGCTGTCGAGGAAAATATCGTGCGCGAAAAGGCGATAGAATCGCTGAAGAAAATTTCTGAGGAGCTCAACGACGACGATCTGGAGCACAAGTTTGTACCTTTAGTGTTTGGCATGACCGAGTCGGAATGGTTTACATCGAAATGCTCGAGCCCCTCTTTACTTACGGTAGTAAATCTTTGTTGCTAGCGATTTTGGTTGGTGACGATACCTTCATCATAGGTGTGTTATCCGAGGGTTTCCGATGAAATACGGGCGGAAATCAGAAGGGTATTCGAATTACTGTGTAAAGACGAGTCGCCGTTGGTGAGAAGGTCATTCGGAGGAAAACTGGGCGATTTTATCAAGGTCTTAGAGCTACAGTACTTGAAGGAACAGTTCATTCCAATCTCCGAGACTTTCTCCAAAGATGAGCAGGTAAAAATCTACTTAAAAAATTGGAGTGTTAGACAAATAGTTTCCAGGATTCCGTAAGGTTATTAGCGGTTGATATTTCTTTGAACGTCGCCCTTCGTTTAACCCAGGAAGAAGTAGATGAGTTAGTGGTGAACACCATAACTGAGCTCTCTTGTAGGTTCACCAAAAATCACAGAGATAAGGTTAATTAATGGTAATTTCAGGTGACTCTTCCTGGAGGGTACGATATCAAGTCGCGAATAAGATCTGCGAAATCCAAACGGCGTTTGGCCACGACTTAACTCGCAAATACTTAGTGTTGATCTACCAAAATTTGATCAACGACGCCGAACCTCAAGTACGCGAGGCATCGGCTAAATGTATAGTACGTTTCTGTGAGCTGCTACAAGAAACCCATCAAGCGAATCGCAAAGACGAAGATGATCAACTCGATCCGGTGATCTTGCAACAAATCTTTCCCTTGATACAAACCTTGGACCAAGACAATAATCCAGACGTAAAGGAAGCTCTTTCGAGCGTAATCACGGCGATTTGCCCACTGCTCGGGCTCGAAAACACGAAGCTCTTACTACTCCCCCTAATAACCGCATCGCTCATGAACGACTCCTCCAGAGTGAAAGAAAACATCATATCGAACCTCAACAATATAATTTCCGTGATCGGGCTGGCCGACATCGCCGATACCGTCCTACAAATAATAGTCGACCTAGTCAACAATTCCGCTTCGGTTTGGCGCACGAGGCGTAACTTGATCGTGACCATAAATTACATCGCCAAGCACTCCGGAAGCGACTATTTCGACACCCACCTAAAACCGCTCTATCAAAAGTTGTTAAACGACGGCGTATACGCGGTGCGCAAAACCGCACCGCTAATACTACCAATACTGATCAAAAATTTCGGCTTTGAGTGGGCGAAGGGGTCGATCTTGACCAACATTTGGCTGTTTGCCGAGCACAAACACTACCTATACCGATACGTCTGCCTATTTTGCATCGACGAGCTCGTCTCGCCAACTTTGGAGGCGAAATGCGTGGAAGAAAACCGACTCAGGTATCTGCAGCAGCTTATCGGAAAAGACGACGAGAACATTCGAATTTTCCTCAACACTCTAAGGAAGCTAAACAACCGATTGCAGAGAAAATTTAAACAAGAATGGGTCAAGAATACCATCGAAGCGACGCAAAACGAACTAATTCCCGAGGACGACATAAAGAAATACACGGAGGATACCATCAACATGTTCGTCACCGGAAACAATTTGAGTATACTGAGTGTTCGTAGTGAGGATGTTTTAATTGATGACGTCTACTTGGAGGGATTATTGGAGTTGGCGGTTGGAAAGTTTTTTGACGTCCTCAAACGTTTGGCGGAGGACCCCGTGGAAAATGTGCAATCTCTGGTTGGTAGAACGCTGATGAGAATTCGAGATCTTTGTACGGCGCTGGATTCCGATTTCCAAAGTGAACAGATCAAGGTGTTCTTAATGGACGAGTGTGAAAGTGAAGAAGAAAAGGAGATTTCGGACGACAATAAATCTATGGAGGAAGAAATGTTGGAGATTTTAGACGAAAAATTGAAAGCGTAGAGTTGCATATTATCGTTTCTATCGCCTTCGGAAAATTTAAGATTTGTGTCTGTGTTAATTAATTAACGATCGCGCAGTGACACTAATTGCTTGCATCACTTTTTCTATTCCTTTTATAGATAATTGCGGCTACTGAGCCGCTAAATATAGAAATGATGCCATTTTGTGGGCAGGCGAATCAATAAAACACTTATAATTATTTGTTCAACTATTTTCTTCATTAACACGTAATGAAAGTGTTTATTGGGATTTTGATACTCAAATTGCACGTGTCGTCATATCACAGCTGTTCAATTTGTGGCAAGACACTTACAGTTGTAGAAAGTTTCACTATTAGAATTATTGCTTTTTGCGTTCCCATTTAAAAGTGCATCATCTTTGGGATAGGAATTTTCGCGAGGTTTTTTAAAAGTTGAAAAGTTCTGTGTTATGGTTACAAACGAGGTTATTGGAGACAATAAATTAACTAATAATTGCAAGATTTGGCATTTTTTAAATTAGGAGGATGTCGATACACCCAGAACTTTTTAAATACAAAAGCTATTCAGTTTTTGAAAGTGTTGGTATATTTTAAACCAGAATTTATTACAAAATTGATATTATGAAGCCTAATTTTATGCAATACTCATAACTCATGTATAGATCATCAGTGTTCGTGGACTTTTTAGCGCATTTTCCAACGAAATTGGGTGCGCTATTGCAGCCACTTTCTCTGTCCGTCCGTCTGTCCGTCAATCCGAGACGTAAAGGTAAGTTCATAGCTCTCCGTTCATACGTTTCCGTTTGTCCGTTAGCCAATCAGAAGACAGCAAATTTTTAAATCGTACGTCGTCCGTTTACGACGGAAAAGTTGGTTGAAGTTGAACATTTACGTTTCCGTTGGTCCGTTTTTAACAAGAGTGAGGTTATGTTTGGTATGTTAACAGCGTTCGCCTATTCGTTCTTCACGGTAATAATCAGATAGCAATGTGTTCTTACTTTCGTATCATTTTCACATACTGAAAATCACGGAGGGTACACTACAAAATAAAGTTTGGGTTATGGTTATACTTGCAAATGTACAATGTAGACGGATTGCTATGAACCTTAACAAAACGTACTATCCGTTTGACGGATCAACGCAACGGATGAACGGAGAGCTATGAACCCACCTTTAGTTGCTCCTATAGTTTGCAATATACAGTGTGTCCCAGATCGCGTGGGATTGCATGGGTAACTTTGTTATTATTAAAGATAGAGAATTGGTTAAATGGACAATGTTTTGCAGTTTTAGATGCTTATTTAAAATTTCCTTATGGAAATTCAAAATATCGCATAGGTTCGACGTAAATTCAAAAAAACTAAAATTGGTCATTTCCTTGAATGTCTTATATCATCGAAAGTATAAGAGATATAAAAAAAAGTTTTATATAAAAGTTACTGTCTTTGATACGTTTAATTTAGAATTGATGTCAAAAAAAAATTCAAGATGACTACTTTTGAGAAACATTTACCAACTTCCTAAAGTTAAATAGGCGCTATATGGGATTTTGAGATTACTTGATAGATTTTTTAATTCTCTTTTCAACGAGCCATCATAACATAAGATTGAAAATAAGATACCGGTTATATCAACGGTTTTTATATTTTAATCAAGTAGGCTGTGATGAATTAAAAAAAAACAAAACAAAATCTATTCGAGCCAACAAAACAATGAAAATAATTACATCAGATGTTTAAAAAATCAGGGGTGCACTCATGAGAGGGGGGTTGGGGCATTACAACTCCCCCCAAAATTTTTTTATTATTTTTTTGTATAAGTAGGCCTAGAAAAATTTTGATTTTTATATCATCACTTATTGACTATCTTATTAGTTATTATCCATACTTACATACCTACAAATGGTGGTATAACTACAAACTATCCCCTCGAAAAAATGTCATGCCATTATCCAGTTAAACACATTTCAAGACACTTCAAGTAATTTTTTTTTAAATTAATGTATTTTATGGCATAATGGAAAGTCATGTAATTGGACCGGTAATCTTCGTTGGATCTTTAACTGCTCACCATGATTTACAAATTCTCCAATAAACTTCCTTAAAGGATTTTCTCGACAACGTATGTTTCTAAAGAAAGGGTTGGTTTATGCTACCTACCAACAAGCTGACTGCTCAGGGCACAATTCACGAATTATGTACAGTACATTAAATTATAAAAGTAAGTACTTAATTAAAAAATAAAAGTAAAGTGGAAGTAGCTACCACTACAATAATAATAATAATCATCAATGGCAACACGGTGCCTAAACTAAACTGTCTTGAAGTGTGTTTCACTAATAATGGCCAGTATTTTAAACATCTGGTGTAATTATTTTCATTGTTTTGTTGCCTCTAATAGATTTTGTTTTGTTTTTTTTTTATTCGTCACAGACTACTTGATTAAAATACAAAAACCACTAATATAATTTGTATCTTATTTTCAATCTTATGTTATGATGGCTCGTTGATTGAAAAGAGAATGAAAAAATCTATCAAGTAATCTAAAAATCCAATATGGCGCCCATTTAACTTTAGGAAGTTGGTAAATGTTCCTCAAAAGTGGCCATCTTAAATTTTTTTTTGACATCAATTCTAAATTAAGCGTATCAAAGACAGTCACTTTTATATGAAACTTTTTTTTATATCTCTTATACTTTCGATGATATAAGACATTCAAGGAAATGACCAATTTTAGTTTTTTTGAATTTACGTCGAACCTGTGCGACATTTTGAATTTCCATAAGGAAATTTTAAATAAGCATCCAAAACTACAAAATATTGCCCATTTAACCAATTCTCTATCTTTAGTAATGACAAAGTTACCCATGCAATCCCACGCGATCTGGGACACACTGTATATTAATTCGTTCTTTTTGAATTGAATTTAATTAAATATTTATATATTTTGTTGAAATTTTAACTACAGATACTTCTAGTTAAGAATAACATAACATAACAGCTATGGACTTTTGGAAGTATGCTTTTCAATTCATGGAAAATGCGCTGAAGTTGCTCGTCTTAGGGCGAAAACCTTTTTACTTGTTTTTCCCTTAATCGCCATGAAACCTTCATTTTTAATGAAGCCTGTCAGGCAATTTCAGTTTCCATAACAGTGTCAGAGGCACTAGCACGTTTCTGACTCCTGACTCTTTACCAAGCTCCTATCAAAACAAACACATTAATGTTATTCAAAAGTGTCAAAACTGTATGAAAATTGAAATTTTATAAGGTACCTACCTACTTAGCTGACCCGACAGACGTTAAAATGATTTCGAAAGTGTGTAATATTCCAATATCATCGACAATTAAATTACATACTTTTTAGTATAAATATGCCCCTCTTATTTATGCCGATCGATGCAGCTGTTAAACAATTGCGAGGCGTTAACTGTCAAACGCGTGATGTTTAAATGGCCGTTATGTTTTCTTAAATTTCTAATTTTCTTAGCTTTTCTTTCCTTTAGAACCTTCTATTACAAAACAAAAAAAAAGATAAATGAAATCAGTTAATTCGTTCTAAAGTTATTGCGTGACCAAGGGAAATAGGGGTTCATTTTTATATATAGAGATGATCAACGAAATTGTGATTCAGGGAAGGCCGTGGAAATTTTAGGTCAAGTTTAATATTAATTAATTTGACAGTTCACGTTAAAGGTGACATTAAAAATGAAGTAATATTACACGTAACCGATACGTCGATCTTTCTCTCTTTCAGGGCCAACTCACACCTTATTAAAAAAGACAATTTCGGGAAAAATGTAATACAAAACTCGTTAGTAAAATGACACTACCGGAAAGTCGCCAGTACTGTGCCATTTTTCTGACTTTTATGTAAATAATTATTGTTTGGAAATTTATTTACCCATTAGTTTATTCCTAAACCGTAGGATTATCTGTTTTTGGTTTTCGGTTTCGGAGTTTCAAATGAAAAAGGCGCAATTAAGTAGGCAATAAAGATATTTTGGTTAAAAACGTCGGATAGATTCCCTTTTCAACAAAATTTTTAATTTGATATTCAAAAATACGGCATTAACTTCCCGCCTATTCCCATACAATGTCAGAAACCTGCTTGCAACATAAATTGTGTACCATTTCGAACAATGACCTCTCTGCCTGACCATGCCAAAACTATTATTTATACGCCCCTGATTATTAAATAATTCACTTGGAAATTTATCGGGAATTATAATTGGCAAACCGCATCACTACTCCCACTTGAGCAGATGAGAGTGGAGAGGGATATTTTTAAATTTAGAAAACCTGGTTAATAGTGACATTATCACGAGGTTTATTTTTGGATGTGATTACTATTTTGATCGCGCCGCTGAATGGGAACGTAGTCAATTTATGATGAATCACAATTACTTACCTTGCAGTAAATATATGGTGGCTTGGTACTCGGCTAACTTTTCATCTATGTAATCTTGAGATTGGTTGGCTATGATTTCCGCTGTTGAAGGGCCGGTTTCTTCTTCTTCCGGCTCGTAGTTCTTCGGCAAGGGCGGAGGTTCTAGTGGTATACCCACGATGTCGTATTCGCGTACCGGTGGGCCGATGTCGTTCTGTATATACGGAGAAATGCCGCGGAAGTAGTCCGGCGTGCTGCACCTTGTGGGAGCTGGGGATGGCTGGAATTTGTTCAATGGCCGTTTTGTGCGAAGGTGGTTTACTTTTACTTACAGGGTGCATTGGCATTCTGAAGGGTCTGGGGCTGGGTGGTATTGGTGGGGGTGACGCTCCGTGCGGTAATGGCGAGGGCCAACGAGGCCGTGGTGCCGGCATGTGAGGGTGACGCGTGGCGAACATTGGCATCCCCGGACTACCAAATCTTGGTGGCGGAGATGGACCGTAAGGCGATGGAGGGCGAAAGTGTAAAGGTGACCACCCACCTCCACGACCGCCCGGCCCTTGTCCAGACATTTCTTAGTTGCGCCCTTTAAGTTGTCTGAGTCATGGTACCATCTAAAACAAAATCTTCATTAACTAATCATCTAATTTTAATCGCGGTGGTGGTAATACACTAATTCCTTACATACGATCATAGAGTAAAACGACTCTATAAGTAATACAGTATGTTAACATATTCTTGAGTGTTGTTTCACATGTTTTATATCTTTTTTTCAAGAAATATATGTGTGAATGCTTTTAGATAATTTTTAATTGTGACGGCATATGCCAGGTGCCAAGCGAAGAGTGATCGATTTGACTTTTAAAATCTAAATTTTCAATTCTTGTGGGGAAGAGTTCAATCTAAGACCACAACGTTTATTTGGAAATGACATGAGCTCTTGCATGAACTGTCGCCAACTTTATTTTGAAAAACAGATCAAAGCCAGCCAAACATTCCACGTAACTCGCCAATATTTCTTTATCGATGACTGATTCGGTCGAACGAAATATCCTCTACAATTGAAAATGCGCTCCTCCTAATTGACACATCTTCCTGTTGAAGTGATCGATCACTCGACACTGTGGCCAAAAATCGACCTGTTTCGCTATTTATAGCGCATGTATCACCCACACATTAAACTTGGCTTTGAAATGTCTAATTTAAAAAGTCAAGAGTCGAGAGAAAGTTCAAGTGGCACGTTACTTCATAAAATGGGCGATTAATTTGAATACAACCATTTTCTCGAAATGAAGAGTTAATTGTGAAGTAATTCCACATTGAGTAATTCAATGTGCAACCATTCATTTGCATGTATAACTGTTTGTTTTTACTTTTTGTGCTTCACAAGCAGAGCTGGGCAGAATACTTTCAAAAAGTATTTGAATACTAAATAGTAAATAGTTTACACAAACCAAGGTATTTGAATACTAAATACTTTTACGTCCAGCACAAGCGAATACTAGATACAGATACATTGAAAAGTATTCGAATAGGTACTTTAAAAAATAAGTATTCAAATACTTTAGAATGTATTCGAATACTATCAAAGGTATTCGAATACCTTGAAAAGTATTTCATTAACTTACTTTGAAAAGTATTCGAATACTTGTCACTCAAATCCCTTAAAAATTTGTTTTTTGTCCATAACTTTATATTGAGAGGTCTAATCGAAAAAAACGAATTGTTTTGGATTCTACGCACCAAACAAAATTAATAAGAAAAAGTGTTTTCCCGAGAAATTTGGGTGCAGTCGATTTTTGGTAAAAAAAGGAAGGTTGTACACTGCCTTTTTTGAGACCCGAAGAAAAAATTCTCTCAGATCGACCCGGAAAAAAAATTTTCTTATAGAATGTGGCCTGTAAAATCCATAATTTCAAACAGTTCCAAGATTGGGCTACTAGTTCAAAAGTTACAGCCCTTTGAATTTTCTTTCGAAATTGGTTTCTAGTCCATAACTTTTGATTGAGAAGTTCGATCGAAAAAGTACGAATTGTTTTGGATTCTACGCACCAAAATTAATAAGAAAAAGTGTTTTCCCGAGAAATTTTGGTGCAGTCGATTTTTTGTAAAAAAGGAAGGTTGTACACTGCCTTTTTTTGAGCCCCGAAAAAAAAATCATCTCAGATCGACCCGGAAAAAAATTTTCTTATAGAATGTGGCCTGTAAAATCCATAATTTCAAACAGTTCCAAGATTGGGCTACTAGTTCAAAAGTTACAGCCCATTGAATTTTTTTTCGACATTGGTTTCTAGTCTATAACTTTTGATTGAGAAGTCTGATCGAAAAAGTACGAATTGTTTTGGATTCTACGCACCAAAATTAATAGGAAAAAGTGTTTTCCCGAGAAATTTTGGAGTAGTCGATTTTTGGTAAAAAAAAGGAAGGTTAAGTATTCAAATACCTTGCGAAGTATTCGAATACTAAATATTTGTGAAAGTATTTGAGTTACAAATACAAATACTGCTTCCATAAAAGTATTTAATTACAAAGTATTTGAATACTTTAAAGGATTTGAATACTAAAAAGTATTTACAAAATCGAATACTGCCCAGCTCTGTTCACAAGAAGATATTTTCCCGTACTGTGGGGGAATGAATATTCATGTACAGTACTGGAATCAGCCAATCAGGTTTATGATGGCTTACACCAAACAACTATGCCATTTTTCCGGATATCGGCTAAAAAAGACGATTTGAAGAAGAATATTTTTTTAGTACAAAACTCGCCAGTAAAATGACTAGGAAAATGAAACTACTCGGCAACGAAGGAGTTTGATCTCAATATCTCCTCGCCATTTTCCTGACTTATGTAAATAGCTAGTAATTTATCTCGCTATTTCGCAACTGTTTATTGTGCTAATTAAAGAAGATTACAGTGAAAAACAAGGTGCGATGTGTCCAATTACAACAGAGCTATACAAGTGTCGAAAACCATGAAGTTGTTACTGTTCGTAAGTTGAACTTTCTTTTCTAACGAAATGACAGTTTTTTTTCTAGATAATCATTTGGGCAAGGTCTTCTGGTGAAATGTAACTACTCCATTGCCCAAAATGTGTTTAATTGATTAAGATTTTTTTCAGGACTACTACAAGTGAGTATGACTACCACAGCTATCATACAATTAAGGTGATCTTTAGCGAATCCTTGTCCAGAGGTAGACTGTTGGGGCGGAATATGGGTTGATGTAGATGAACCGTGCTTGGCGTGTGTCTTCCCTGACACTTGTGTAATGTTCGGATGTGATGATCCGCAAGATTTTTGCTTTCAGTACAATCAAAGCTTTCCGATGGATCAATACGCAGTGCTTGGTGAATGTAAGCGTAGATGCATGTGTCATAGAGTGTTACTTGAGTTTTACAGGCCGTAAGAATCCCTGCACGGAAACACCTCTGTTAAATGCGAATCAGTTAACCTCAGTTTGCAGTTGTGCCCATCATTGTCCGACTGGATACATTTGTTCTGAATCCGTATGTTGCGAGTCACTTCAGACGAGTACTCAAGCTTTGTGAAAAAATATGTACTTAAGTTGAATCTTATATCTCTTAATAATAATAATTTGTTTTTTAAGGTATTTATCAAATCAAATTCGTCTTGATTTATTTCTGTAATACCTACTGTCTTGATTCGGTAAAATGGTATACCTACTTCTTCAGTTGGTCTTTTCTTTGAGTTGACAACATTACTGAAGAACGTTTTGTAATAAGTAGATAAAGAACATATAATATGAAAGGTCTTCTTATCATACCACCTCCCTGTTCTCTGCGTATATCATATTTAGAGCGATTGCAACAAAGTGAGATGTGTTTACGACATTGCCGCTACGAATCATGAACATGAAGCTTTCAATAATCGTAAGTTTGGGGATTTAATCTACAAATTCAAAATGTATCTGTTCCAGTTAACTATTTTAACCGTGTATTGCGCTGAAATGTAAGTATTTGCATGAGGTTATTTAGTAATTGGAGGCATTCTTTTTTTTAGACGCGCAGAATCTTCAACTTTTCCTCCTGCTACTAGTATTGGTAAGCATAAAGCCAAACGTTGCCGATTATTAACTTATAAGAGGTATTCACAAAAGGTCCTTGTCCAGGAAATAGTTGTGATGGGGGATTATGGGTACATCACGGAGGACCTTGCTGGGAATGTATTTACTATGACACTTGCGAAATGTTCGGATGTCCCGAACAATTGTTCTGTTTCCTATACAATAGAAGCTTTCCGCTTAATCAATACGGCGTTGATGGAGAATGTTGGTGTGAATAAGTTTACGCAAGGTTTGTATCCGAATTTTTCAGGTCGAAAAAATCCGTGCGTCGGAAGACCTCTGTCAGCTGGAGGAAGATTAACGTATGTTTGCGATGACACCCAAAAATGTCCGAATGGATACTCTTGTATCGAGTCCGTATGTTGCGAGTCTCCGATGTCTAGTACTGAAGCAGCTTTTTGAAAAATTTGTTGTAAAAATTAGGACCATTAAATTTTAAGCACATGTTTGTTTTGTAGTTAATCATTTTACATGTATATTACACTCAAATGGAAGTATTTCTATCAGGTTACATTGTAAGTGGGGTCATTTTCTTTTGCAGACGTGCACTATTTTAATTTTTCCAACCACTCCTCGTATTGTAGCGAATTTTCTAGAGCGATGTCAAGGCGCCATCATCAATTCAATTCATTCAAGTAAGGATGGACAACTGTTCAGCGTACTAAAAAACGGGGGATATACCGAAAAGGATCTCAACACTTTATATTTGATTTTTTCCGGGAGAATACAATTAATGAGTCGCGAGGCCAAATCTTCCATTAATTTAATTGAAATACCTGCAATACCTTTAAGTCATTTGTATTGAAGCCAAACTTTTTTTTACGCACATTATTTGTTTATGCGTTCAAATATGAGCTGCCAATAAAAATTTCATTTAAGCGAACCGTCTTTACAGTATACCTACGAAACAGAGCTGAACCCGCTTTAATTTGGGGCAATCCAAACAATTTTCTTGGAAATCGCGCAAAAATTATGGGAATAACTGAACGTCTACGATATTAAAATGGGTCAACAGCATCTATACAAAATTCCGTTTTTAGCGCCAACAGAATGGAAATAGATTTTTGGCATTGATCGCGAATTATATTTATATATTATAAAATGACGTATCTACGGCATACCAATCTGTAATAACTGCATAGGCCCTCTTTTTGTTCAGTATGGCGTGTCTTTCAAAATCACATCATTTACAGGGTGGCACAACGAAAACGAAACATACTGAATAACTCGCAAGGAAATAGTTTTTGGAAAAAACGCAAAAACCGGTCGATTTTGGTTGGACGGGAGACATCTTTTACTTAAAAATGTACACCTCTGGCGTCACCCCCTTCCTCCCCTTGAATTATTTTAAATTCAACGGTCGAGTGACCCATCATTGGAAAGGACTCTTCATTTCCTAGACGCCTATCGTTTAGTTTTCAAATTTGAAGAGTCCTTTGAAGGATACCGGGTGTCAAATGAGAAATGAAATAATTCAAATGGATATTTTAACTTTGACCTGAATGGACACGTTAGTAAGAAATATTAGTCACATAACCCTCAAAACGTGCTACAGCTATCTCCATTATGAATATGAGCAAGGAGCAACTGATGAATAATGTGATATGTCAGATGGTAATGTTTTGTCTTGATTTTTAACTCGGTTTTAGGCGGGGTTTTAGGTACCTACTGATGATAAAATACTGATACGATTTTATTTCAGTGAACCAGATATACTTATGGTACCTATATAGTTTTGTTGTAGTTACCTGAGCCCTACAGTCAAGTGAATTGTCCAAAATAGTCGCTCGAACTAAAAAAATAAACTGTAGGCATGTAGCTCTGCTTAAGGGGGTTGACGCTAGAGGTGTAAATTTTCAAGTAAAAGATGTCTTCTCTATTTTTGCGTTTTTCCCAAAAACTATTTCTTTACGAGTTTTTCGGTCTGTTTTCGTTTTCGTTGTGCCACCCTGTATAAGCATATACGTATGAGCCTTATATGTGTATAATAAGGACATCTGCGCTGAGTTTATAGCAGTTTTGAATACGAATGTTAAAATTTTTAGAAAAAATTGAATAACAAAAATCGCTAATGATTGTGTGTGAGTACATAAACGCATAACATTGGCGATGAAAAGCACGTTTTCACCAATTGTAACTACTTCCTTCTTCCATTTGCTTCTTAAAACTAAACAGACTTGAATTAATCCAACTATGTATATTTAAACTAATGCCTCCTAAAAATAGTTTAGTTTAGCACATTACAAACCAGAAATAATTTATTTCTGTTGCAACTGCTCTAAGCATTTTCCGTTGATTGCCGAATTTTATTTAGTTTTCATGTTGCATTTTGATCGCTGAAATAGTTTTTATACTTCGCAAAGAAGGACCCCTTCTTATGTGATGATGAATTGGAATTATGGATGATTATTGTTTGTTTGAAAGAGTTCAAGAAAGCCATATTGAGAGGATTGACTTATCCAAGTGCAAGTCTGCTTTGTTTCTGCACTTTTGATTTGATCGAATTTGCTTGCTCTTATAAACAATCCGAAGACCACAATACAGAAACGTGAACCAAAACAATAAACTGCCGTAAAATTATAGCTCGGTCGGTTTGTAGTGTTTGCACCATGAATATTATAGCTCAGCTTTGCACAATGTAAGATACGTGTGTCATACAACTTCTCGCCATAGGTTTAAAATGCCCTTTTTGGATAGATACTATTACATTTGTGATGGTAATTAAATGCAAATTTGGATTTTTCTAATTTTTTACAAAAAAAAAGAGTAATGCGAATGGTTTAGTTTAATTAGACTAGGTATATGAATGTATTGGAATACGTTTAGTACGTTTTTAATACTTTTCGGTAATGAGAGGTCTTTTTTAAGGTCCATTACAATATGGTATTTGCGTCGGATTTCCAATTGCAGTGGACACTGTGAGAGGAAGTGGTTCACGGACAAAGGCTCGTTGCATTCACAATATGAAGGGTCTTGATTTTCAAAAAGATATCCATGGGTTTTCCTTGTGTGACCTTTGAATTATGACTGTATGCTTCCTATTCATTGAGGGTAGATTAGTGGTCATTATTGTAGGCTGAATTTCGGATAGCTTGGTGTTGGAAAAGCTCCAAGCATTTTGCCACTTACTGATGATTGACTCTCTTAGGCAGTTCTGCAGGTCAATGTAGCTGCATTTGCTCAGTAGTCAGGTCCATGTTTAGGGATTCTTTTGCAGCCCGATCAGCTCTTTCGTTTCCACTTATGCCAACGTGGGAGGGTGACCAGACAATATTTACTAAAACGTTTCTCGCAGCAAGCTGATGATAGCGGTCGTGTACTTTTTGTGCTAAGAAATTTTTAGTATATGTTTTCTTTAAAAATTTGCATACCGAACAATTTGCACCTGTAAGTGTCTATTATTTACGTTAATTATAGTAAAAATAGCTTCCCAATGGTTGGAAACCCTTAACTTCTCAATAACCTACTTGCACGGGTACGTTGGCCTGTAGGTGTACTTTAAAAATATCTCGTGCAACGAATTTTTTTTAGCTCTTCAAACTCATGGACGGCGATTTTTTGCTTTTATTCTCGTCATTGACTCATGTATGACGAGAACATATTTATATAACTGTAGAGGTAATAAAAGATCGAATGACCGGCACTGTCGCATTTCGCACACGATACTTTTTTTTTGCGATCGGTCCCACTTGTTTTGGGCAAAAATCGGACGGTGTGAAAGGAAATCAAAGAGTTACCTGTAATCCAATGAGAGAAATTACGAACTTGCACTGCACATTTAGGCACCCAAACTGCAAACCACATAAATGAAACGGTCCAAGTTACCCCTTCCTGTGATCGACTTTTAATTTTAGATTTGGCATCGGGACGCTAGCTTTCCAGCGTCGACGAAATACGTGTAATTTTGTCACGTTAATTTTAACCAAGTGCAATATTAGTACAATCGGCCATAAAACGTGATTTACAACCTTCTCGTGATATACTTACTATTCAAGACTGCAAGGTCGATTAGCGCTTCGTAATTGAGATTTTTATAAAGGGGGAAGGTTGGGCATTGAGAGATAGATGAGAAATACATACAGTCATCAGGTATGTCCATAGGGACTACCATGCCTAATGATCAGTGTCAGGGACTGTTGTGTTAAAGGACCGAGTATCCTCTCTTGGCAATCCACATAAATAACGCTACATTGTTTTGTCTGTCTAAGCGTTCAAAATCAACATTCGAAAGCATGAATGAAGAAATCCCTGACCATTAAAGTTTCTTTCACTTCTTGGCACTAACAAATTCGTATGCCTTCGAAAGAAATAAACGAAGGAAAAACGACATAACAATGATAAGTTCAAAATATGGAATATCAGCAGTGGGTGCGTTTTGTGCTGCCATGCCTCAGTCGCATATTATACCTAATCAAAAGTACCTACAACATAACTAAAATGGCATTACTTAACTCGGCCCCATACTTCAATATTTTCTGGACAGTAATCTCTCTCACCTCATTTCCCTGACTTTTATGTAAATATTATTTATTATGCTTATATATCTAGTAGGTACGAGTATGAATTAATAACGATCCTCAAGATCGTTTATAATTTTATATCGGTGTCTGTCTGTCCATGTTCCTAAGAACTTTGTTTAGAAACGTCCGATAGCTTTGAAAATGGGTACAACACTTACACAGTGCTTTTAAGGATAGGTAAAGGTCGCTATTGTTTCTCAGTTGTAAAAATGAAGAATGTGTGTTCATCGAGATTTCCCCAGGGTCTTAAATGGCGACACCGTGGCTTTTTAGTTCATCGAGATTTCCCCAGCGTCTTAAAGGGCGCCACCATCGCTTTTTAGTTCATCGAGATTTCCCCAGTATCTTAAAGGGCGTCACCGTCGCTTTTTAGTTCGAGATTTCCCTAGGGTCTTAAAGGGCGCCACCGTCGCTTTTTAGTTCATCGAGATTTCCCCAGGGTCTTAAATGGCGCCACCGTCGCTTTTTAGTTCATCGAGTTCCCCAGGATCTTAAATGGCGCCACCGTCGCTTTTTAGTTCATCGAGTTCCCCAGGATCTTAAATGGCGCCACCGTCGCTTTTTAGTTCATCGAGATTTCCCCAGGGTCTTAAAGGGCGCCACCGTCGCTTTTTATTTCATCGAGATTTCCCCAGGGTCTTAAATGGCGCCACCGTCGCTTTATAGTTCGAGATTTCCCCAGGGTCTTAAAGGGCGCCACCGTCGCTTTATAGTTCGAGAGGGCGCCACCGTCGCTTTTCAGTTCGAGATTTCCCCAGGGTCTTAAAAGGCGCCACCGTCGCTTTTTAGTTCATCGAGATATCCCCAGGGTCTTAAATGGCGCCACCGTCGCTTTTTAGTTCATCGAGATCACTACATTTTGAAATAACACCTGTATATGAAATTTAGCCTGTCCAAACGAGATAAACTAACTAAAATCAAGCGAGTTTGCTACTTTTTTTGAGGAGCATTACGGATTTTAGATTATGGATCATACATCGACTTAAAATTAATGTCTACTTTAAGTCATATTGCGATTTAATTCATATCGTACCTTCGCTCAAAATGTATTACGCTTTGGTTTTGTTTTAATGTGATCGATTTTTGAAGAGAAATTTATTTTGTTTTAAAATATTAAAGCACCAGTTATAGTGAGCTAAACTGAATTTGAGCCTAATAATATTTATCACGTGGAAAAAGTTAAGTTCAAATTAAACATTTTTGTATACTTGGTTCATACGGCAGTTAAAATAAATTTTAATTTAAAAAGCTTACTACTCCTAAAGTTTTGTTCATTCATTAATCAAAGTCAAAAGAATTGACCAATCCTCTGGCACAATCAAATAATATTTATAAAAAATTAAAACGTGCAAGCGAAGATTGCACCATTTTTAAATCTTTTGCCTGTAAATCAAGTCCTTTGACTAGCTACAATCAACATTATATTATGTAGTATACATAGTATTGGACGAACAATCCAAAGGAGGCCGAGAATCGAAAATTAAAATATTCATATAAAAAAAAATAACGCGAATTTACTTACTACATTAAAATTAATGACTTTTTGTTTACGTAAGAAAGCAAGAACCTTAAAATCAGCCTACAGCCTCTTAACACTTTGCAATAAAATTGATATATAAACACTAGCTACAATTTGATAAACATGTAAATCGAAATCGAATGAAATGAAATATCATAAACACAGTAAAATACTTAATTTCTAAGTTTGTCGTGAAAAATTTGCCTAACGGAGGCACTTTTTAGAATTACTTGGTAATGGGTGAACGAGAACGTGATCTGGACTTTCTTCTAGTCGACTTTACGTCGGGTTCCACGCCCCAATCGCTTAAATCGTACTTGGACAAATCACCGTCGTCCTCTTCTTCATCTTCGTCCTCCGCCGCTTCGACTACCTTTTTCTTTTTCGTTTCCACCTCCCTTTCGGCCTCGTCGCTACTTGAACGTTCACTTTTACTTTTTCTCTTCTTCCGCCTACCGAATTCGTCGTACTCGTCGTCCGAGTCATTTCGTTCCTTATACTCTACAACACCACGGTCGTTATATCCTCCTCCCAATCCCGTTCGCTCCTCGACCTCGCCAAATTTCGGCGCGTTACACACGTTGCACTGCTGACGACGCGCCCAATTTACATTTCCGCACTTATTACACTGCCAGTCGTCCGCGCTGAATAGTCCGCGACTCTTTTCGGCCGCCGCCTTTCCAATTTCCTGGCCCAATTTTTTCCTCTTCGAAACGGCGGGCGGCACTCGTTCTTTACTGCATCTGTTGCACGCGTTACGGCGGGCGAAGTTTACATTTCCGCAGTCCTCGCAAGTCCAATCGCCCTCCGATATCTTGAGGGTTCCGCTGATGTTAGGTGGAGGCGGTGGGGTTAGTTCGGCCTCTGCCATCAACTTTCTACAAAAACAAAATCTTTAGGTACGAACGGAAATTGTTTATTTATATCGTTTACAAGAATTATTATAAAATCGATAAATAAATTTATTTCGCTGTCAAAACATTCATAAACGAAGAAGCCGACATGTCAAAATTTTCTTAAAAAGCTAGGTTAGGTAATGTCGATCGTGGATGACACTTGCGCAATAGGTACATTTATATCATGCTCAAAAATTAATGAACTTAATCGGGTGTTTTCAGATCACATTACATTTCATTTACTCTTAATAGTATGAGGAGTAGGTTTTCGGGGGTTAATTAAGTTGTCGAAAGCTTTTAAATGCACACCTTTGGATGTAAAGGTGTTGAATTTAAATTTGGCGCCTAACATTGCCAACAAACTCATCTGTATACTGTGGCGCCATCACTACGATTTCTAAAAAATAGTCGTTTTGTGGACCTGACAAAAGCTTTGTAAATTTTTAAGTTTTATAAAAATTGTGTAAAAAGAAAGGAAATTGTGCCGCGGGTGAGCAATTCGAAACGTACCACACATTTTTATTCTAAGTGGATATAGAATTAGCGTAAACCTGACGATAGTAGCGCTAAGAGAATTCGGCTCTACAATGGCAGCCAGCGATTCAGCGGGCGATGATTCTTTGTATCCGATTGCAGTATTAATCGATGAATTAAAAAATGAAGATGTACAGGTGAGTTCGCCCCATTTACCGCACATTCATAACCAATTCGCATTAATGACATCACATGTCTAATTAAAATCGACTCATTTCAGTTGCGTCTGAATTCGATTAAGAAACTTTCGACGATTGCCCTGGCACTGGGGGTCGAACGAACACGGTCCGAACTCATACCGTTTCTTACGGAAACAATATACGATGAGGATGAAGTACTTTTAGCTTTAGCGGAACAGCTAGGAAATTTTACGACGCTTGTGGGCGGGCCCGAACATGCCTACTGTCTGCTGCCGCCTTTGGAGAGTCTCGCGACCGTCGAGGAGACGGTCGTTCGAGACAAGGCGGTCGAATCGCTTCGTGCCGTCGCTCAGCAGCACACGCCTGCCGATCTCGAACAGCACTTCGTGCCGCTGGTACAGCGATTGTCGGCCGGCGATTGGTTCACCGCACGTACCTCGACGTGTGGGTTATTCGCTGTAAGTTTCTTCCGGACGTTTAGTGAAAAATCTAACTGACGTGCGTTCCAGGTGTGTTATCCACGAGTGTCTCCGGCTATGAAGGCCGATTTAAGATCTCATTTCCGTGCACTTTGTCAGGATGACACCCCGATGGTACGTAGGGCGGCTGCCGCAAAGTTGGGGGAACTAGCGCAAGTTGTTGAGTTAGAGTACCTTAAATCTGACTTAATTCCCATGTTTGTTAATTTAGCACAGGATGAACAGGTAGGTGTAATAGTCATGCATGTTGTGTGATTTAAAACTATGAATTTTATTTCTTATGCAAACTGTTACTCATTGTGCTAATGGCAAAATCGTGTTCTAAAATTTTAATTAAATCTAATGTTTAGTGATGTGTGTGAATATTTGCGACACTAATTTGCGAGCTCACTGCATTTTCAACGTACACCTGCAGCAATGTGTGTATATTTTTATGGAAGCGGCGGCAACACGAGCACTGGGCGCTTATAAATTTAAATAATTGATAATCAATTTAATAATCGATTAATTTAAACGATTAATCAAACCTGATTATCGATTTTTGTTTGATTATAATCGATTTTTTTGCCCAACGCCAATTACGCGTGCTTGACTTTTGCAGTTTGTCTGCACTTGCAAGTGTCGCAATGTCTATTTGTTTATCAAATGCTATGTTTATGCTTCGTGTTTGTCAATATATCTATAATTCTGAGATTTTTCTGCATTTTTGATACAATACACTACAGACTTCATTTATCTAGCTAGGTGAAAGACTGCTGGTAGAACAACGCGCGAATTTGCTCAAATAATAAATGCTCTGATGTTAGTATTAGATTAAAGCATAAGGCAAATGTGATCTACTCACTTTTATTGAAATTTAGGATTTGCGAATACTGATGTCTTAATTGAAGTGCAGTATTTCGAAAAAACTGCTTAAAAGCACGTGGAAATGAAAAAAAGCACAAAAAAATATAAAAGGAATTTAAAAGGAACAAAAATTTTCCCTGTAAAATATTATTTAAAAAATTAACATAAAACTCAATACACTAAGGAGTACATAAAACGAGTCCCCCCGCCCCCTCCTTTTTAACAAATTTCCTTCTTTTGAAATCAAGTTATTTCAGCATGTTTAAATATGTCCCCATCTCCAACCGCTTCTCCATTTAAAACCTTACATACAGTGTGTCCCTGGATTGATGTTACAAGAGGATGAACTAAACATTTTTGATTTTTATTTTAAGACTGGAAATAAGCCTTCCTTGGTATGAAGAAAATTTTAAGAATATTTTGAGTTTTTAAAAATCAAGTCAGCCTTGACAGTAAAACAAAAACTATTTTCTTTTCAGGTAAATTGTACTTTTGTTCATGATATAATAAAATGTTACTAATGGCCGTTTGCACCGACAAATTTAAGCGGAGCTTAGCTTAAGCGTAGCTTAAAATCCATTGCAACAATTATTGAGACAATGGTTGCCATGGATTTTAAGCTAAGCTCCGCTTAAATTTATTGGTGCAAACGGCCATAAGAAAAGTTGTTAAACCATTTACTAAGCTATTTTGGTTTTAAATAATGCACTTTATCGGCACAAAATGTATCCTTGTTTGTAATATATTACAAATGGTTGCTTGTGACAGAAGATTCTTTGAAATTACGTTTTAAAACTGAATCTTATGATATTTCTATCTACGCTCCAATCAAAACTTTGGATTTTATCCTGCACTGTGCATGTGTAGTTTTCTGCAAAATCACCAATTAGACCAGCAGTTCTTAACCTTTTTTAGTTTCCTTAAAATGCTGACCTTGATGATATGAATTTTAGTGAAAATCACTCGCCCCCCAAATTATTAAAACGAAAATTAGATTTTTAGGCAAATACTAAATTCTAATTTATCTATTTTTCCCATTTCCCGAATTAAACAGACGCAGAATTTTTCAATCTACAAGAAACCTATTTTTAACTGATCTAAATTAATTACTGGAGAAAATATTTCGATATAAGGAAATCATATTGAAATCCCTGCACATTTTACATCCTGTATAGTAAAATCCCCTCTTTCATGCAGGCTCCCGAAATATTCTCGAATATTCAAGTTATCGCCTTCGTTTTTTATCGCAGATGAGTAATCTTTCATAGTTCCCTGATGTCTATAGGGACTTCTGGAATATTCGCTACATTATTATACCATCACAATCTGACATATCAAGGTATCTTGGTCCTACAATCAAACAAATTTTTTTGATTCAAAATTGTTACCACTTTTTTTAGTTGCTCTAACAGACTATCGAACTACAAAAAGTATCGTATATAGCATTCCCTCGAGCGCTTGTGGCCCTCAACTCAGTTGAAACTTTACACTGCGAAAGAGACCGCCGCAGGGTATGCTGAATGTGAAAGATTTATTTGCGTGCTAAAGACGAGTTCTTATGCTACACGTGTGGGTGTTTGTTCTCAAAATTGCAAAACTGAAATATTTTATTATCTGGGCTTTTTAATTAAAAATCCGTGCGTTGTCCGGTCCTGTGGAGCACGGATAGTTGGAGTTCTACTGTACCATTAAATTACACAGTGCTAACTGATTTTAATTTTCCACATTCCAGGAAGTTTGTGCGATAGGTATTTTTGCATGATTAGGGTGTTGTGTGTGGGTGCACCATTTTGTTGAAACCAACGGTTTCCCATTTTTAGATTTTCTTTGTTTGCCTGCCGTAAGTACATCGTATTTGTAATAAAAAATGCTACTCAATACAGTATGTACTTTTTGACGTGCCATATAAAAAAATAAAGTGATGATAATTTCTTTGAAACGCAATGAGAATTTGGTTTTTATTTTTTTGTATCTGCTGAAATAACAAAAAAAAAAACGAAATCACTTTTATAATACCAACTGATACAATTAAAAAAGGTTACAAATTATGAAATTCAATTTTGGACAGTGACGTTTGTCAGGAGACGCAAGTCTTTTTCTGAACTTCAAACTCACTATAAAAAAGTTTTGAAAGTGACCCGAGAAGTGACCCAAGAAATTGTGCTATTTGTAGTATTAGTATAGTAACACCCCACCAATTGGAACACAGTATTTGCAAAAAAGTGATGGTATCTCAGTTAAGGTGCATTAAACAAATTTGAAATTTAAATAATCAAACAAACAACTACCGCAAAATCGTGTAAAAGTTTGCTGCCATTAGTATAACAAAATATAAATTTAACGGTGCTTATACATAGTGAAATCACACATTCAAAACTGTCCCATAGACGTACAAACTCTATTCTTGTCAATTGTAGGATTCCGTCAGACTGCTAGCAGTCGAAGCTTGTGTAAATATCGCAACACTCCTACCTCAAGAAGACGTAGAGAAACTTGTAATGCCCACACTGCGACAGTGTGCAGGTAAGTGTCTGAAATTAAAGGCCCCAATGCGTTTACAGCCAAATTTCCAGGTGACACGTCGTGGCGCGTGCGTTATATGGTCGCGGACAAATTTACAGAACTACAAAAAGCCGTGGGTCCGGAAATAACGCGAACCGACCTAGTGCCTGCATTTCAAAGTCTACTGAAGGACACAGAGGCGGAGGTTCGTGCGGCCGCTGCCAACAAGGTTAAAGACTTCTGTCAAAATTTGGACAAGCCGCACCAGGAGAACATAATTATGAATAATATTCTACCGTGTGTAAAAGAGCTAGTCTCGGATCCGAATCAACACGTCAAATCTGCGCTGGCTTCCGTAATAATGGGTCTGAGCCCGATTTTGGGTCGTCACAACACAATTGAGCACCTCCTGCCACTCTTTCTGTCTCAGTTAAAAGACGAATGTCCGGAAGTACGATTGAATATCATTTCGAACTTGGACTGCGTTAACGAAGTAATCGGCATACAGCAACTGTCACAGTCACTATTGCCGGCGATCGTTGAGCTCGCCGAAGATTCCAAGTGGCGCGTGAGGTCGGCGATTATCGAATATATGCCTTTACTAGCCGGCCAGTTGGGTCAGGAGTTTTTCGACGAGAAACTAAACGCACTCTGCATGACCTGGCTAATGGATCACGTTTTTGCGATACGCGAGGCGGCGACTTTGAATTTGCGCAAGCTGGTCGACCAGTTCGGTGCCGAGTGGGCGGAGAATACGATAATTCCGAAAGTACTGGCGATGGCCAGAGATCAAAATTATTTGTATCGGATGACGTGTTTGTTTTGTATAAACGTTCTGGCAGAGGCTTGCGGCAGCGATATCACCACCCGGTTATTATTACCGACCGTTCTTAGTATGGCAAACGATAAAGTCGCTAACGTACGATTTAATGTTGCAAAAACGCTTCAGAAAATCGCGCCACAACTCGATCAGGCCATTATTCAACCTCAAGTCAAACCCGTGCTGGATAAACTCAATGTGGATGGAGATGTCGATGTCAAATATTCCGCGTCGGAAGCAATTGCGGGAATTACTGGTAAGTTGTCTTCTGTAAGTGAAGTTTACTAACCGTAAACTTTCAGCCCTAGGTTGAGTGCCGTACAACAACGTTGAAGTATTTTAAGAACCTATCAGAATCTCACGAATGAGTCATTAAAAATTACATAATCTCCTAGGCTTTATGATTTAAGTACATATGTCTGTTGTGCTACAAAAATATTATTTAAAGATATGTAAAATAGTGTTCTTTAGATGCTATAGTATTAAACAAAATATTGATAACAAGCGACTGTACATTATTTTGATATTTATTGCTGAACTTCTTCGTTCCCATATTTGAATGGCGGTGACTTTCAATATACGGGAATGAAAAAACTCGAATGTAATTTCATGTGTTATCGTTGACTTATTACTGACAACCTGGAAGCCAATTTTTAGTTTTTATACCAATAATTATAAAGTTTTTATTATTAAAAGTTTTAAAATAAATTTATCTAATATAAGTTGATCATTATTTATGTCTCGTTTGTGCCAAATTTGATGATTTACACGAGGTTTTATATATCATTTTCGCTAATAAACATTTTTCATTTAATATTGCTTTCATTTTCTTTTTATTATTCAGCACTGTTTGGTATTACTCTTGAGGTTTAATTCTGTTCTATTACGTTATTTTACCATCGACAATACCACCTATTAATCATGGTATATCGGTGACTACTTTTATTTTAAATAATAAGGTTATTCACATTCTAACAACAAAGTTTATTAATGTGAGAAAATACTATGACTTTTTTTAAGGCCGGAAAAAAAAATTGTCTGAGATCGAGATCGATCGAGAGTCCATAATTTCAAACAGTTCCAAGATCCGAGATCAAAAGTTACAGCCCTTTGAATTTTCTTTCGAAATTGGTTTTTAGTCCATAACTTTTGATTGAGAAGTCTAATCGAAAAAGTACGAATCGTTTTGGATTCTACGCTCCAAAATTAATAAGAAAAAGTGTTTTCCCGAGAAATTTTGGTGTAGTCGATTTTTGGTAAAAAAGGAAGGTTGTACACTGCCTTTTTTGAGGCCCCAAAAAAGATTGTCTCAGATCGACCGGAAAAAAACATTTTCTTTTAGAATATGCGACCTGTAGACAGTTCCAAGATTGGGCTACTAGATCAAAAGTTACAGCCCTTTGAATTTTCTTTCGAAATTGGTTTTTAGTCTATAACTTTTGATTGAGAAGTCTGATCGAAAAAGTACGAATTGTTTTGGATTCTACGCACCAAAATTAATAAGAAAAAGTGTTTTCCCGAGAAGTTTTGGTGTAGTAGATTTTTGGTAAAAAAAAGGAAGGAAGTATCCAAATACTTTGCGAAGTATTCGAATACTAAATATTTGTGAAAGTATTTGAGTTACAAATACAAATACTGCTTCCATAAAAGTATTTAATTACAAAGTATTTGAATACTTTAAAGGATTTGAATACTAAAAAGTATTTACAAAATCGAATACTGCCCAGCTCTGCTAGTAATTTAATTAACCAAAAAAATTAAAAATAAAAATTTGTGAAATACAGTAACGGATTTTTTTTTATGTTATTTAGCTATTTTGTTATTTTTATGAATACTAAGCGAAAATTCTGAATTTTCAATAGAAAAACAGAAATGCGCAAGTGGTAATTTTAAATTATTATATTTATTGCAAAGAAAAGTTGAACTCAATAATATAAAATATAATGAGAGATTTTGATATTGATATTAATATAAATAAAATATATTATTAATTATATAATGTAAAAAACGAAAACAACTTGACTTTTTGAAATACAACCACGAAACGGAATGTTTTTTTAGGTTTTTTTTATATTTTTGTATACTTCGCCCAGACTACACGTATTTTATTTCGATTGCACTGGTCGTTTTAACTTTATTGTAGAAAAAATATCAATGTTTATTAATGTTACCTAACCCCAAAAAGCGCTCAAGTACTATGGTCTACGTCTGTTCTTAAGCTAATTTTACTGTAAAGGTACGGCGGATGCTGAGCACGTAGTAATTTAAAATAAAAACACGCACAGCGAAGAGATTTGCAATTTACCATGTTTATAGCCACGTTTATCCTCGTGTTTATCTTTTATTCTTAACATTCAGTTATAGCTTATTTTTGGTAATGGTTTTGCAATGTTGAATCGGGCCGATTATGTGGGAACAGTTGCAAGTTGGGAAAAAGGAAACTTTCTTCCTACAATATATGTACTCACTATACGACTAATAATTAACATTTTTGAGGCTATTGTACAAATTGTTAATTTCAAAAATGTCATAACAGTAAGGCTTCCTCTGTACCACTTGATACAGGTCGTTCTTCGTCACTCTTCGGTTTCTGGTTACGCTTCTTTTTTCCTCGTATCTTATTGATCTGTTGCTTGTTAAACATTTTGGAGAAATCCGAAAATTTGTCCATTTTTGAAAGGTAGGATCTTTTCGCGGAAGATTTACTACCGTCCCTTGACTTGCTGACAGACGAGTTCTCTACGTTCACGCCCTGAAAAGAAAGAGAAGTAAATTACATAATCTTTCGCATATTGTATAACCTCCATCATGTCATCTAGGGTTGGTCCTCTGTTCCATCCGAAATCGCCCCTACCGAAGATCCAACCGGGCGCAATTCCGGTCGGGCGGTGTAGAAGTTCGGCGTTCCGACAGGATGTGTAGACTATTCTGGATAGGAGGATCGTGGCGATCTGAAATATAAAGATTGAAGCAAACTGGTTTCCTGAAATCGTACACCATTAAAATGAATATCAGGACGGTTATGGTAATGAACCCAGTGATGCCCTCCTCTATGGGTTTGGTAAGCGTCGTCAGACAGCCCTTTGTATACAGCGAGTTTTCGACGATTGTCGGTTCTTCTTTCCACAGGTACGAAGATTCCATTTGTTGGAAAGGATCGTGGAAACACTGCAGTGGGTATTCAATATTACAGCAGCTCCACGGTACGACGGGAAGCAAAATCTTGGAGGGTGACAGTCGTAATCTGCATTGATCTCGTAAATGACTGTTCGTCCTTAGGGAATACCTACTCCTTGACCAATTGATGCTCCAGGTGAATTTGTTGTTCTTCGATCCAGGAGAGTTGGTACCAATCCTTGTAGTCGTAAACACCGCAGCATTGCATTTTCACTTGAAGTTCGTCAATGGTGCGTTTCCAGAAAGAGTCTTTGAGGTACTGCATCATCCCGTACTCCAAGGCGCGGGTTACCACGTGTATTATATGTCGTGATATTCTTCTCCCCATACTTGCCACAATTAACACGTTAACCAGAACGTTGCATCCCACAAGTGACCAGAGGAATACAAAGCGCCTTGTACTTTTCCTACAACACCGCCGATGTACATTGCCAATCAGATACGAGTAATTTGCACTACAAACTTGAGCGATTGCTTGTAGCATTTGTAACAAATCTTAAGGCCAAATAGTCCGTGAAAGATGATATGGGTACCGAAAATGGCAATGATCGCGAACACAAAATTTACTTCGATTTTTTCCGAGTACAACGTTGGCGATATTCGTACGCAGATGTAGCTGGACCACCAGGTTGCTATTAGACCTAGCAAAGTCTGGAGACTAGTTAGAGCGACAAACGCCAGCGCGCATATGTACCTCTCTCGCTGTGACAGTTTAACAACACCAATTGCCATTATGTTTGACAAAAGTTGCATGTGTCTATAAATCGCGTTTGCGTAAAGCTATCAAACAAAAGTTATCGATCAAACATTTTGCAAAATGGACGAAAAAGGAGGAAAAGTTGAGGCTGATACACAAATTGAGGTACAACCGGAGCGAGAGGAAAAAGATTCTCTGTTCTCTGACGAGGATGAGGAAGGTAAATGGACGGTGAGGTGATTAACACCGAATAATGTGTGAGTTAATTTACAGAAAAAGTTGTGGAGGTCACCACGCCCGTTGAGGCGGAAGAAGTGATCACAGCAGAATATGCGGAAGAAGTAATGGCGAAGTTGGTGCGTATAGTAAAAGATTTAACGATGTTGTACGATTTGAGAGAAAGCGACTGGACGGAAGACACCGAAAAAGCTATTCAAGAGTTTTTTACCGACTTAACTATCCCGATTTTAGTCGTTTATTTTGATCACGATACATTAATCGTGTCCAAAACTTTTCCTACATGTTGCATTGTAGATTTGATGTATTTTATTAGAGGGCCAAACGAAAAATTTGAGCTTTCTACTATTCACGACTGTATAATGTTTGGAAATGCACACCGCGATGTCGAAGGGACAATCTTAAATATTTTGGAAAGCATATACGCTCCTATACTTTTTAGTGTTACCACTTGGCCCGACAGTATCCTTTTTAGGAAGCTCGCGGAAAAACTTATTTTAAAAACTTCCTGAACTTCAATTTAGGTGTCAAAAACGATATCTGCACCGCGACATACAATTTTCTGCAGACTGTAACGGACCTTCATCATCGTCTCTACGGCCTTACCGTTATCTATATTCCCCAAGAATGCGTTAACGTCTCCGTCGTGCAAGCGAGCAAAGATAAAGAGTTAATCAAGAGATTGGAAGGCGTTGTGGTTTACTGGACGCGTCAAATACGAGTCTGTCTGCAGGACCAAGACCAAAACACTCCACAAGATCTACTTTGTCCGATAGACGAGTACGAATTCTGGGTCTACAGACGTAAGCGCCTCTCCCTCCCCTACGAAAACTTTACCACAATCTGATTGTAGACGAGAATCTCTCGGGATTGAGTTACCAGATGAAAAATCCAAATTTAATGCACGTGTGCGATATTTTGAGTTACGTCCAATCGACTCACGTGACTCAATTCATGATTTTAATCGAAGACATACATCACAGTTTGCGAGAGGCGAAATCAAATATAGAGTACTTACAAGTGATCACGCAGCCATGCGCCGATTTGATGGAAAAGCAATCGCCTGCTGAAATACCTCGGAACTTAGTGGAAATTCTAAATCTGTTTCGGTTCATCTGGGAGCAGAGTCCCTTTTACAATTCCAGACGAAAGATCACCGCTCTGTGTAGGGCGTTAAGTAACCAAATTATACTTCAGTGTAAGAAATTTACCAACCTGGACGTTGTATTTAAGGAGAAACATAGCAGAGCTGCGATAATTATGTTTCAAACTTGCATTGACTGCTGCGTGGAGTACACTAGAATTTATACTGCAGTAAGTGCGTCTCACGAGTACCTATATTATCACACTGATGCATATTGACCGATTCCTTTTTAGCGCATTTTCACAATAAAAAAAAATGCGCTATTGTGGCCACTTTGTCCGTCCGCTCGTTTTGCGACGCTACTAGTTCTTTAACTTAAGAGCTATTGTTCTACTTTTTTCGCTATTTGGTTCGTTATGGTGTCGAGGCTTGCACCAAGGAAGGAATTTTTTCTGTACCGCTTACAAAAAAAGTTATTGTAAAAAAAATAAAAAACCGTTTTTTACATGTTCTATCATTTTACATTTTTGCCATTTATTAACGATCCTAGAGATCATTTATAAATTTGCATTGCTATCTGTCGTCTGCCTGTTAGTCTGTCCGTCTGTTCCTTTGTCTGTCTGTCCCTCTATCTGTCCGTGTGAACGATAACTTTGTTGAGAAATGTCCGATCGCTTTTACATCTCCGTTAGTTATGAACTGAATTGCATGAAATTCAATATGGGCATAGCTTTAGCCATATAATACGCAATGCCAAAATTTGAGTCGAATCGATTCAAAATTCACAGTGCCCTTTTCGCATCTCGACCATTTATAAACCGAATTGCAAACTTTTTTAATTATAAAAGTATTTAAATGAAATTTGATACATAGCCACTTGGAATAAAAGCAAATTTAACGCCAATTTCAAAATTTGGTTTTGCGCATGCGCAGTGCCAACTTTCTTATTTATGGAGGGATTTAAATAAAATTTGATAAATAGCCACTTGGAATAAAAGCAAATGTAACGCAAGTTTCAAAATTTGGTTTTGCGCATGCGCAGTGCCAACTTTTTTATTTATGGAAGCATTTAAATGAAATTTGATACATATAGCCACTTGGAATAAAGGAAAAGCTAATGCCAGTTTCAAAATTTAGGTTTGCGCATGCGCAGTTCCAACTTTCTTATTTAGAAAAGCATTGAAATGAAACTCTTCTTATAAACTGAAGTTGAAGTAGCACGTCAAAAATGGATTGCACATGTGCAACGCTGTCTTTCATATTTGTGGCCGGATTTTTACATTTTTAACAAAAGTTGCACCTTACAAATAGGAAATGAATGCAAGTGGAAATGCGCTTTATGTAAATCGTTTACGATTACTTTTTAACTTGTTTGTGTGTTCCAACTAACATCCTAAAATTCTCAATCACATCAAATTTGTGTCGAAAGAGAGTTAAATTTCATCTCGTTTTGAAATCATCCCGTTGGATGGGATGGTCGTCCCTTACAAAAACTCTTACTTGCACCAAAACTAACTTTAGTGTTCATTTTCATAGTTTTAGTTAAAAAAAATAGATGAGTGCGTCAAGTATTCAATGTTCAGTTATTTTGTGGGCTGATGCGTTTTGAATCATCGAGTATAACTGTTTGATATAAATTCATTTTAGGTTTCCGAAACCCACATTAAATACAGTCAGACACATTGGAACCTGGACAAGGCCCCTATTTTTAACCACATCGACACATTTATTCAACGCTGCAAGGACATGATAGAAATATGCGAAGCTATGATCACCTTCGGAAGGTTCGACGAGAAGGAATCGATTCCAATTCCGAGACTTGGCGGTACACGCGGCGTAGAGTTTGAAACTTGGTGCGTTAGAATCGAGAATATGTTTCAGGAGAGCTTAAATTACATTGAGGAGGTAAATTTCCGTTCCACTGGAGTACTGGAGCGGTACGAATGCGGTATATACTTCCCTCATTCGTGCCGCTACCGCTCCCGTGCCCGCATTCCCGCGTCGTTTTGAGTGGACCTTTAACGTCATTCATTGCAGCAGCGAGAGACCATACTGGACGTGCAAGATTCGTCTTGGAACGACAAGATATTGAAATTCCGCGCGCGAATGGAAGTAATCGAAACTGTAATAGAAAACCTCGTCAATGCAATTTTCAAGGAGGTCGTCACGGTCGAGGATGGCATCGAGGCGTTGGCCGCGCTTTACAATTATTCTACGCGAAAGAGTCTGAAGAACGTTTTTGATTTCCAAACTCGTTTCGTAAGAGAAGCGCGCCACTTTGCCGGTAATGTTAACTATTTTTTTAGATTTACTCCCTATTCTTGGGCGAAATTAACGATTGCAAACAGGAACTGGTTAAACAAAACGAAGAGTATCCGGCTCAGTTCCCCTACTACGCCGGAAGGGCTATGATCGCCAGTTTGAAGCGGAACCGTTTAGAGATTCTGAAGAAAACCGTAGAAAACGCCTCCTGGTTGCGAGACTGCAGTATTGCCGAGGACACCTGGGCGCAGTACGCCCATGTTTTAGTTTCGATCGAGAATATAATTCGTAATTTGTATCAGAAGTGGATCACTAGTGTCGGAACTGAGTCGAACGAGCGACTAAACAGGTCGTTAATGAAACGAAGTACAAGTAAGATGGGGTTATTGGAATGCAACATTGACAGGTAGGTATAAGTTTCTGGAGAATTATGAAACATATTAACCTGGTAGGTCTCTTTTGGAACTGCTGCACGAGGCAAAATACTGGGAGGCGTTGAAGTTTGAGCTTCCTGGCTATCTCGGCTCGATATGCCAAAAGGGCAACCAACTGAAGCTTATATTTGAGAAGGTGCTTGCTGTGGTCATGGACTACAACAAAATTATTGCATCGTTGTCAGGCGAGGAACGCTTGCTTTTTCGACAGCTCATCAACGACGTAGAAAAGAAGATTGTTCCGGGACTGTCCAAGTTGACGTGGGCGACCGATGTTGGCGACGCTTACGTGGCCGAATGTTGCACTGCTACAGCGGAGGTAATTACGAACTTGTATCTTGAGATTACAATTGGCAATAAGATCTTGGTATTAATTATGTTGGTCTGAATCTTTCTTCGTGATGGGACCAAAAAACATTTTTTCATAAAATGCAATGTCCGTGTTTGGCGAGTTTTTACTGAAACCGAAAATCGTTCAGAGTCGTTTAAAAAAAACCCTTAATTTATTTTTTTATTGAGAAAAGACACAATCAGCACTAGGGGGACTTCTCTTGAAAGTGCGACCAATTCCTTATTCGACTGTAAAGTTTACCGCCAGGACTAAGAGTGGCAATTAATTGTTTGCCACCGTACAACTTGTAATCATTTGTTATTTCTCCCAACTCGACACCGCAGGCCAATAGATCCTTGGCAGCCTGCATGGCCTTATCGGTGGGTAGGACGGCTGGAAAATCACTCAACTTAAAATTTATCGACAAAATTGGTACTCACATCTAAAGTCACCTATGAACGCAATTCCGACCGATTTTCCATTATATCCGAAAGTGTGAGCGCCATGTTTATGCCAACCTCTGCCCTCGTAAATATTTCCATCTCCGCCGATAAGGAAGCTAAAATAAATCGTTGTTTACTTAGAGGCGACTAAGCAGCAAACAAATACCTATAGCCAATGTCGCCCAATTCCGCGTTATCCAAATGGAAATTTTGAATGTTTTGCACGAGCTCGGTGCATTGCGATCGAGTTTCACAAGTAGGTGAAGCGGTATGGTGAATTACCACCATGTCTAGTGGGAATACTACGTAGGTAATTGTTTCGGGATCTCGCGCATCCCATTCCTTTCTAGTTATGATTTTGGGACACACTGTAGGTAGTACAAAATTATAGTAGGATAGGATTCATCAAAGAACAGTGAACTTACCGGCCGCGTACGCGCTGACAAAGAACAATGAAAGAGCTATGAAGTGTACGGTACCCATTGCTGACCACTTACTAGTGAAGTAGTATTGAGCTCTGGCTGGGAAAATACGTTGTGACACAATTCGAAATTCAAGATTACGGTGCATCGCATGACGTGACGTGGTCTTCTTGATCGATTTGGGAACTCCCTCATTTTCTGGCAAAAAAACACATTTGTAATTTAGTACTTATCGCTAATGGCATCTGCGCCTACGAAATCGCCCTAATTAATGATTTTAATAGGGTAATTATTTATTTCAAAAGTGCAAAGCGACAAAGGTTTAATTCATCAGCATCTCATCACAAGTTATGTTCTCCCGATACACAATCCTCCAAAAATGATTATTTCGTAAGTACACCAAGTGCAAAGAAGTAGATACTGAATGCCAAAGTGTCAGTGGCGGCTTATAACGTAAGAAGACAATTGAGGCCTTCACTGCCAAAATTTCACGTATGTAACATACGTCGTATCCTATTGAAGCATAGAACCCGAGGCAATATTGCCCACCACCAGCTGGACATTACCCCACTTCAGCATAGAGGCAATTTTTAAAATTTCAGGAAATAGGTATATGTTTTTAGAGCGATTTTTACGTTTGGGGTGACGTTTACGAGGTTTCCGACGGTGAATATGACAAAAATAATATCCAAAGCTAATTTCTGTGTGAGAAGCATGTTTCATTTATCATATTGTAACGTGATTTATAAATTTGGGTTCGATTTATATCAATATTTATTAAACAAAACTAAAACACTATAAAAACCGTACAATTTATATCGATTATTTATATCACACACCTCGCAATTTATATTTCCGCGCTCGATGATTCATACGTACTCGATCTCGCTCGGTAGTAAAACTGACTGCGATGTTCGGTCCGCAACCATTTATAGACGCAAGCAATGTAAGTCCAGAACACTCGCGTAATTACCGGAATATTCCTATACAAATCCACTATCGCGCGCGTAGAAAATTCCAGAGCGCCAAAGGCGACGTCATGTCTGGAGCGTTTCCGTTACAATATATAGGCCAATTGTATGATATCTTTAACGTCCGACAAGATTCAAAGGTTTTGACCGATTTTCGTAGTTGAGGTGGCGTTTTTGAGATTCTTTTGGGTGAAGATTACCAAAAAAGACCCATTAAAGGCCTTTTTTATGAATTTTTATGTATTTTGAATAAACAGATCTAGGTTAACTAAGTGCAAAACTGAAACTTATTCATTGAATCCTGTTTTTAACTAAAAATTGTTGATTATTGAAACGTATTTACAAGTAAAAAGTCATCAGTCATCAAAGGGAAATGCCTCTTCATCGCTCAGATCTCCTGTTGGAGTCGAGCTATAAAAAACATTTAGTTAAAATCATTAAAAATAAAACGCAATAAAAAGCATGTAGGTACATATACTGGGCTTCGATTTTTGCAGTGTTCTTGGCATTTAGAACTCTGTAGGGTGCAGGGAAGGCTGTTTCGTAAGCATGAGCACCTGAGTTGACTTGCAGCCGCATTTTCCTACGATTGAGAACGCTTTCCCTTTTGACGGGATACAAAGTTACGCAAGAAGAGGCGGACGGGCGAATCATCCTCCACCTCCATGCGAAAGATATGGTGGAGCATGGAGCTCAGAACATCCTCGTCCAGTCTTGAGATACTGACTTTCTGATGGTCATATATATTTTGTCAATGAATTTGCGCTCGAATTACACACAAGATTTTTTCTACAATCAAGCAGTTCACATATTTCCAAAAATTTAAATTTATCACTCAAATATGGGTTGAGTGGAAGAGCAGTCAAGCATGCTTCTATGATTGACTGAACTCCGCCCACTTTAATATAGTACATATTATTTAGATATTTACTTTGTACAACTGCCTAATAAAGACATTTATTATTATTATTATTATTATATAGATTATTATTTTAATCTTTATGCTCAAATGAAAGATGCCATTTACTCGTTGTCATTGGAGACTCTGAGCAATGCATATTTGATTTATAGTTAATAATTGCGAGAGCGAGCGTTTTTTCTATTTTGTCGGTTATAATCGACAAATTGACATTCCTCGAAAAATATGACGTTTGCGTTGTCATATAGGAGCGCAAATGCCTACTTTGGATATCGATTGTAGAAAAAGGTCTTTAATGGGTCTTTTTTGGTAATCTTCACCCAAAAGAATCTCAAAAACGCCACCTCAACCACGAAAATCGGTCAAACTTTCCAAGAAACTTTCCAATCCTGTCGGACGTTAAAGATATCATATAATCATGTTTCCCACACAGAAATTACCCTCGGATATTGTTTTTGTCGTTTTCACCCTCGGAAACCTCGTAAACGTCACCCTAAACGTAAAAATCGCTCTAAAAACAGATATTTCCTGAAATTCGCCTCAATTTTGAAAATTGGCGCCATTTTCAATCCTAAGGGAGGGAACTTCCGGCTCTGCGACTCAAATCACTGCAATAGGTCTAGGGAACATGTGTTCCAAGTGGCACAATTTTAATACGAAATGCCGTTTGTTCCCACGGGCCGCTCCCACTAACTACCCTCCAGCGGAACGTAGGCCTCATCCTACTGAAAAACGTTACGCTAAACCATACAATCTCAATTGAACCCAGTTTTCGTCCAACAGGGGATGTCCACCCCCCCGATGGCCATATCGCACTAAAATGGCCATTAGGTTAGCCTGGTCCTTTTCCTCAATGCCTCCCTTAGGGTTGATCCAACACGACTATGACCTTTGCCCACGAATTCTACACCTCCAGGCGTGTCGCTTGACCGCCACCAGGTGGACAGGTACCATTGGGAGGGCGTATTCTGCGTTTAATTATATTAGAAAACGTTTTCGGGACAAAGTAACAATCCGTCACTGTGTCAAAGTAAATTCAAACATTATGAGATAATTTCGTCACAATTAGGAATGAAAACTGTACCGTTTATTTAAAAAAATCGAGAGAAATATGATTTTATTGTATAAGTATCAATTACAGGATGTTCGCCATAATACAAGATTTAAATTTTTAGCTGCAGGACTTCTTGGACGATTATAAAACGTGCAACCTCCAAATAGTGCAGGTTTGCGAAAGAATATGCGGCACCTCCCTAATACAGCTGGAGGAGAATCACGCCTACGACCTAATTGAACTGATCCACTATCTGGGCAAATACAGAAACGATATAATCGATAAACTGATCGAGGATTATCGAGAAATAATTCAGTACCTCATTGTTGTCTATGAAGGATTTGAAAGCCGCATACAGCTGGTAGCCGATTGCCGAAGCATCTTTACAGTCAGTAATATTCCATTGTTTCAGATGGGAGAAGAGTGGATAAAGTACGTTCTTAATTTTGACAGATTGATCGAGGAGGCTTTAACAGTGTGTGTGAAGAACTCTCTACTTGTGATGTATGAAGCATTACACGGGGATGGTAGCACGCTACCGTCACCAATCCTGAAGTTAGAGGCGAACTTGAAACGCAATAGGGTAAGCGGTTTCGCATGATTGAAAATGCTACTTAGTGCCATTTGTAGATTAATTTTGAACCGTCTCTCGCGGACGTTGGCTACGTTATCTCGGATACTTTGCCAAGTATCACAAACACTCTCAAATCGCTACCTAGATTGGCAGACAAATTCGGTATACAAGTCGCATCTCTGCGACCGTTCCATAAAATAATCAGCGAGGATCAAGAATGCCAAAAACTGCAGAATTTGTTAAACGAGGGTAAGAATTTGATGCCTCGTGCGGTCGTCTGTTAACACTTATCATTGCAGAAGTTACCGTGAACGTAAGGCACATGCACACGTATCTGGCAATCTGGGAGCCCTTCCGAGACATGTGGGAGGTTGACAAAGAGCGTTTTATGGCGCGCTACGAACAACAAAAACCGAGCGCCGCGCAATTCGATTCAAACATAGGTCGCTATACCGAGGTGGCTAACAACGTTCAGATCCAAGAGTCCGTCAGCAATGTGCACTTCATCGTCGTCAATTCCGTCGAGTTGAAAAAGTCGATCATCGATCACTGCATCGACTGGCAAAACAACCTTTGCGCCCTGTTACACAAACTCACCGTCGAAAAAGTTCGGCACGTCTACGCCTACATCCACACTAACAGCGAGGTGTAAGTTGCCCTACTCGAAAGCTAACCTCTCAACACCTCCGCTTTTCAGTGTAATGCGCCAACCACGCAATCTGGAGGAGATGGCGGACGCGTTAATCTTTTTCAACACGGTAGTAGCCGAGGCCGAATTCTTCTCCGATCAGTTCCCCTCGATCACCGACCAAATTATCACTCTTGACAAATACAAGGTGGACGTGGGCGACGAGATTCGTAACCTGGAAAAGGGTCTGCCGGCGACCTGGGTGAAATACTTAGAGACGCTTGAAGCGTCGGAGAAACTTCTCAGTTACACAAAGGTAGTCCTTCACGATACGGGAATTGTATAACCTTTGCTTTCCCATCTTTTTCTTTTTCTTACCTTTCCTTGTCTCATCAGCACGCAGGTAATCTTTGGCCCTAATTATTACACCATGTGTCTTGCATTTAGGGGTTGTTTTAGGACGAGTTGAAGGGCGGTCTGCTGGAAAACGCGGAAAAGCTACGGCACGACTGCGCGGGGCTGATGGACGAGTTTTTGCACAGCGGCCCGTTTTCAGCGACTGTAAACGCAAAAGACGCACTGGCCTACTTGGCTAACGTTAAGGATAGTATCAATGGGATTCGGCAAAAGGAAGAGGAACTGAGGCGTGACCTGAAGATTTTCGATTTAAGTTTGCCAGAATCACTAGAATTGCAGGCGCTGGAAACGGTAAATAAAGGCCATCATGTTGCTGTTAAGGTTAAATTTGTCTGCAGGAGCTGGCCACAATTGAATTAGTGTGGCAACTGACGGACGATTGGGATACCGCTTGGAACGGTTGGAAAAGCGGCGGATTTTGGGATATCAGAACTGAAGATATGGAAGATATCGCCCAAACTTTATTTAGGAAACTCACGCGCTTGTCTCGGGAGTTGAAAGAAAGAAAGTACGCGCTAGTTCTGTTCAGGCGTGTTTTATAAAGTTCGCATTTGCAGTTGGGATATTGTTGACCATACGAGAGCACGAGTCGACGCCTTTAGGCGCACGCTTCCTCTAATATCCGACCTAAAAAATCCGGCGATGCGTGAAAGGCATTGGGATAGAGTAAGAGCGGCAATAAACAGAGACTTCGACGAAAATTCGCCCGAATTTAATTTGGAGGCGATAATCGCCATGGACATGCAGATTTACAGTGACGAGATTAATGAGATATCTAACGCGGCCACCATGGAATTGCAAATCGAGAAAGGTTTAGAGAATATCAAGTCTTTGTGGGACGCGATGTTCTTTGAGATGGTACCGCATAAAGAAGGAGGAGTGTTTCGGTACGTAAAAATTGGCGCGGTTAACATTTAAGGGATTCTTTTTCAGAATTAAATCAGTCGAGGAGTGCTTTCAAGCTTTGGAGGAGAATATGATGCAATTATCCACGATGAAAAGCACCCGTTACGTTGAACCATTCGCGAAGGATGTAGACTACTGGGAGAGAACTTTGTCTTACATCATGGAAACGGTGGAGGTGGCACTCGTCGTGCAAAGGCAATGGCTTTACCTCGAAGTACTGATCAAGATCAGTAACTTTAATCTTACCATTAATATCATTTCCTAGAACATCTTTGGAGGCGAAGATATTCGCAAGCAACTGCCGAAAGAAAGCAACGACTTTGAAAAACTAACTAGAGATTGGATCGAAATCACAAGGTCCATGTACCAGTCGGGAACGGCACTGAGGGCAACCCATATTCAACCACCTCCGTCACTACTGAATAGGCTCAACGGCATGAATGATCAACTGGAATTGATACAACGCGCACTTGAACGCTACCTGGAGACCAAAAGGCACATTTTCCCTCGATTTTATTTCATTTCAAATGACGACATGCTGGAAATTCTGGGAAACTCGAAGAAACCCGAGTCGATACAACCCCACTTTAAGAAGTTATTCGATAATATTAACAAAATCAAAATACAAAAAGTAGATAAGATTTTATTTGCGAATGATTAACGTGCGTGAGTGTTTCAGAATTCGATTTTGAACAAAATAGAGTCGATCGGAATGATATCCGAGGATGGCGAATACATGGAATACACAAAGTCCGTTTTACTCGACGGTCCCGTAGAGTTCTGGTTATGCGATATCGAAACGGCGATGAGAGGAGTATTGCGCGCGCAGTTTAAACCTTGCCGGACTGACCTGAAGAAAAATTTAAATACGAGAGATAAGTGGTTACTTTCGAACTGCGGTCAGCTGTGCAATGCCTGCAGTCAGGTAAGTCGGCGATCAATATTATTAAGACCGAACCGCGCCTTTTGTAGATTCAATGGACGACCGATTGTACGAGGGCGCTAGTTCACTGCAAAATAATGGAAAACAAGAAACCTTTGAAAAAGTTGCGCAAGAAGCAGAACCAGGTGCTCGGTAAACTGTCCGAGCTTAGTAGGCGAGAGTTGCCAAAAATTCAACGGCTGAAAACGAACGCGTTAATAACAATTGAGATTCATTCTCGTGACGTCATTGACAGAATGTATAAAGCAAGTGCGTAAGAAAGGTTTCAGGTTAAACGACCGGGCAGAGACATGATGTTTTTGAAAGGAAGACCCATGTCAAAACTTATTGTTTTTGTTACATATATATTGCCAATTTCAAACAACCTGCTATGTCTATCTATCTATCTAGTCGCCTTTGGAAGTTCGAGTTCCGTACGATTTCCCATGTAAACAAAAATTCCAAAGGTGACACGACGGTCACTCATTTTTGAACGCTGTAGTACTTTTTTAATAAGAAATTTTGTTTCAAGGATAACTGCATCAGTACCTTTATTTGTACTGGAGGCGTCAACAAATTACCTTAAATAATTAAAATCTGAAAATGAAATTCGCTTTGAGATTACAGGAACGTATATGAACATCTGTTGCATATTGTCACTTCTTCCCAATGACGTTATGGACTTTTTATTTATTATTTCAAAAATTAAATTTTACTTGTTTGAAAATACTAACCAGCTAGAATACCTACCTGTGATTAGTCAAAAGGTGCTTCTAAAAAAGGCACTTGTAGTGTTTTATTTTTTGTACATTCAACACGTTCTGCTCTATCTTGCAGATTGCAGAGACGTGGGAGACTTTGAGTGGTTTTCTCAGTTGCGCTTTTACTGGGACAGGGAATTGGACGATTGCTTAATTCGACAGACCAATACGCACTTTATGTACGGTTACGAATACAATGGTAACTCGGGGCGTTTGGTGATCACTCCACTGACCGACAGGTAACTGGGAAACATGAGACGCTTTGTTCATTATTAAAGATTGTAGGTGTTACATTACGCTGACGACCGCTTTGCATCTGTTTCGGGGCGGTAGCCCGAAAGGGCCCGCGGGAACTGGTAAAACGGAAACGGTTAAAGATCTGGGCAAGGCGATGGGCATGTGGGTGATTGTCAATAACTGCTCGGAAGGTTTAGACTACAAAAGTATGGGAAAATGTTTTTCCGGTTTGGCGCAGACTGGAGCTTGGGGTTGTTTTGACGAATTCAACCGAATCAACATTGAGGTGCTTTCCGTGGTGGCGCAACAGATTTTGTCCATCCTGCAAGCGATTTCACAAACGCAAACCTCCTTGGTTTTTGAAGGTATGACTCCGTATCAAAACAAAATGTCTATAACAGTTCGTCAGGTATCGAAATCAAGCTGAAGCGCACTTGTGGAATTTTCATTACAATGAATCCAGGATACGCCGGACGAACCGAGCTGCCCGACAATTTAAAATCGATGTTTCGTCCCATATCGATGATGGTGCCCGATAATTTGATTATCGCCGAAAATACGCTCTTCAGCGATGGATTTCAAAACACAAAGTTGTTGGCGAAAAAGGTATTCACCTTGTACCAATTGGCTCAAAGACAACTGAGCAAGCAAGATCATTACGATTTCGGCTTAAGATCGATGGTGGCTCTCCTGCGGTACGCCGGCCGTAAGCGCAGGGTGCACTCGGATTTCCCCGAAGAACAAGTCGTCTATCTGGCGATGGCCGATATGAACATCGCCAAATTCACTTCGGACGATCTCCCACTATTTAACGGAATTATGTCCGACATTTTCCCTGGAGTTTCCGTCCCCGTCGTGGATTACGAAGAGATGAACAACGCTATTCGGACCGAATTTACCCTAATGGGCTTACAAGTGAGTTTACACCCGACACACCACTTCAACCACCATCTTTTTTAGAGCATTAAAAAGGGAATGGTCAAAGTTATTCAGTTATACGAGACGAAAAACTCTCGCCATTCAACAATGATCCTTGGAAAAACGGGCACTGCGAAATCGGCAACGTGGAAGTGTCTAAAGGCGTCGCTTATTCGACTTAGAAAAGCTGGTAAACCGGGGTTTAATTTGGTCCAAGAGTACCCCATCAATCCAAAGGCATTGAGTCAGGGAGAATTGTATGGCGAATATAATTTGCAGACGAACGAGTGGTTAGACGGCGTGATAAGCGCCATGATGCGCCAAACATGCTCAGGTACGTCATACGATCGCTGCTAAACTTCAACGTCGTTTCTTAGAGGAGACTCCGGATGAGAAGTGGATTCTTTTTGACGGTCCCGTTGACGCAGTGTGGATAGAGAATATGAACAGCGTAATGGACGATAACAAGGTGCTCACATTGATTAACAGTGATCGCATCACCATGCCGGAGCAGGTGTCGTTACTCTTCGAAGTAGCGGATCTGTCAGTGGCCTCACCAGCTACCGTTAGTCGGTGCGGTATGGTCTACAATGACTATAAGGATTGGGGATGGCAACCTTACGTGATGTCCTGGATTCAAAAGCAGGAAAAGAGAGGAAAATTATTTCAGGACCTTGTTTGTGCTCTAAGCACTCCGGGATGATACTAATCGTTGGCCTTTTTAAGATGAAAACGTACTTCAACAACTACTTAGGAATGGCGCTCGACTTCAAGCGACTGCATTGTAAAGAAACAGTAATTTGTTCCGAATTGAACTTGGTGGGATCCTTATGTCGCTTGCTCGAAGTTTTTGCAACGAGTGATAACGGTGTCGATCCCAAAAATGAAGATACCTTCGAGGAAATTGCCAAATTGTGGTTTATGTTTTGGTAAAATTTCCTGTACGCCTTCGAGATGGTAACGTTTTTTCATTACAGCTTAGTGTGGTCGGTTTGCGCCACCGTGAACGAGGACGGCCGAAGAAAACTGGACGCCTACATACGCGAGAAGGAAGGCATTTTCCCATTGAAGGACACCGTTTATGAGTACTTTGTCGATGTTAGGAAAAAATGTTTTTCATCGTGGGAAGAAAAATTGTCGGACAATTGGCGATATTCTCCGGGGTACGCTTCTGATCTCCTATGCGATCGACTGCAGTTTGATTTTCCAGGTCCCCCTTCTTCAAAATCATAGTGCCCACAGTTGACACTGTCAGATACCGGTGCATTGTTGAAACCTTACTCGCTGCCGGTTATCCTTCTCTATTAACGGGTCCTGTGGGGACCGGCAAAACATCGACGGCACAATCGGTGTTGTCCAGCTTAGATCTTACACGATTTTCAGTACTTAACGTGAACCTCTCTGCACAGGTGAGCAATGCTATACACGGAGTCCATTTTTCGAGTGCCACTATGGAGATCTCACTTATCTTAAGAGATAGAAAGTTGGTTAAATGGGGGCAAAGTTGCCAATTTTCGTGCTGAATAAGAATCTGCAAAGAAATTTGAAATATCTTCAATAGTTTTGAAGATATCGCAAAAAAACGAAAATTTCTGATTTTCGTTTTTAATTTTTTTATGATAAACTAATCGTAGTAGACATTTCTAATTAACACATTATTCGGACACTTTTTAATGGAGATTTCAAATATGGGATCCTGTTTTTAATAACTTTCAAGATAATGGAGAAACACGTTGCAACTTTAGTTTTTCTTATGGTCGCCATTTTGAATTTTCACATTTTGAGATTACGTCCTTTTTTCTCTTTCCAACGATATATCACACATGGTGGTTCCGTATCACATTTTTCCTAAAAATACAATTTTTAATTTTTTGAGAAGAGTGCTTTGGAAAAACAAAACGTTCTTTTGTTGTGAACAAAAGGTTGACTTCTTTCATGCAGTGTCATTTAGGTTTATGCTAGTTGTAATGCGAAAATGCCTTTTTCAAGTGCAGATCAAAGAGATATGATCCAAATTTACTACACTCGAAATGCCCACATGACTGCTGCAACATACTTGCAGCGTTATAAAGAGGGGCAACAACCTAGTTTGAGGTATTTTTCTTTGCTGCATAAAAACTTGGGCGAATATGGTTCTTTTAAAAGATGTAGACAGCAATATGGTGATAGACCCAATTAATATGAGCAGGCAACTTTGCAAGCGGTTGAGATGAAAATCGAATTTCTACTTCTCTGACAACGCTGCAACCAGACAGATGGATCAAACTGTCAAACTTTTGTTTACAACAAAAGAACGTTTTGTGACAAAATACACGCACTCAATTTATTCACGTTTTTTTTCCAGTAAAAGTAGACATTGACCCAGTAATTTGAAAAAACAAGCTGAAAATTGGCATACATCACCGATCTACTCTTACAAAAGTAATTTGGGTGTTTCGTTACTAAGAAACCGTAGCTTCCAGATTTTTTATTTCTTTTAGGAATTGGAAACAGAAGGTGATTTAACTTCTAGCGCCCTTTTAGCTGCCGATGAGGAAACCAGTTTCCGTATTAGATAAATACTTTCTAAGATAACCGCTCCTTTTGCTATTTAGGTAGTAAGGTTACACAAGATAACCGTTGCAAGGAAGATATAAAATCCAGAATAGCACAGGCTAAAAAAGCATTGGCATAAAAGTGGGACCTGCTAAGATCCGAGATAAATATAGGAATTAGGAAAGGACGATAGGCAAGCAAAAGTAGGATAGAATGAGGATTAGCCGGATGGATAGAGTAACAAACGAAGCAGTCTTGGAGCTAGTACAGGAAATAGGGAAATATGGAAAACGGTACTGAGAAGACGTATGATAGCGAACGTGCTAAGACACGGAGGAATAGCACTACTAGTTATAGAAGGTAGGGTCGAGGACAAGAGAGGGGTAGGACCACAGAGACTTAAACACATAGACCAAATAGTTAGGGACGTATGCAAGGGTAGTTATGTAGAACTGAAAAGATTAGCGCAGGATAGGAACAGGTGGAGGCTGCGTCCAACCAATCCTAGGAATGCGCAAACAAAACAACAACAAATGCCGAAAATGTGAAAAATCCAGGTTGGGGGTGATTTTCCTAAAAAGCTCGAATTTCCAAGGGCTTCTTTATGTGCGGAATTATGTTTTTACTCCAAATACACATTAAAACAAACATTTTGACATCTTAGCAACGAGAATCAGACCATTGGTTTTGCTCAAAACTCGAGAAATCGAGTTTAGGGGTAGTTTTTTTAAGATGGCGTCCGTTCCCCAACCGGGATCTTTTGGGACTTTTCGGAAATTGGTTCTGGCACTATCCTGAACATGTCTGCTAATTTTCGGCTTGTTTTTTCAAATTTCCGGGTTTGGCCCTTATTTTGTCTAATTTTACTGGACTATTACTTCAGTAAAAAATAGGAACGTTACAAATAGTAATTTTTACCAGACATCTTCCATTAACGTACAAGATATTATCGAAAGTAGACTGGAAAAGAGGACAAAAACGACGTTCGTCCCGGCCGGAAACAAAATAATGGTCACGTTCTTCGATGACTTTAATATGCCCGCAAAGGAGACCTACGGATCGCAGCCACCCCTTGAGCTGTTACGTCAGTGGATCGATTACGGTTTTTGGTATGATAGATTGAAACAAACACGAAAATACGTTCAGGTATTTCCTACTCTCACCACTTAGCCTCATCCAGTAATTCTTTCAGAATATGCTACTAATGGCCGGTATGGGCCCACCGGGTGGCGGTCGTCAAAATATCTCCGAGCGAACCTTAAGCAGATTTAACGTGATCAATATGACATTTCCTTCCGAATCGCAAATAATTCGGATATTTGGTACCATGCTCTTGCAGCATCTGTCCAACTTTCCGGAAGAGGTAAAAGTTGCCGGCCAAGAAATAACGTTCGCAACGGTCGACTTATACAACAACGTCATTGAGAAGATGTTGCCCACGCCTGCGAAAATGCACTATCTCTTCAACCTGCGTGACATATCGAAGATATTTCAAGGCCTTCTAAGAAGTCACAAGGATTACCAAAACACGAAGAACACAATTCTTCGTCTCTGGATCCATGAGAGCTTCAGAGTCTTTTTTGATCGCCTAATTGACGATAAGCACGTAGAGTACTAGTGTCCGATTTGTTCTAATGATACAAGTTGCAGGGATCGCGAGTGGTTCTTCGCCCAAATCAACGATCAACTTGGAGCTCACTTCGATCAGACATTGCACTCTTTATGCACCAATAAGGCGATACCGATCTTTGGCGGATTTATTAACCCTTTCGGCATATACGAAGATCTGTTGGACTACTCTATTTTGCGTAACTACATCGAAACCCAAATGGGCGAGTACAACGTATCACCTGGTGTGATTCGCATGGATTTAGTACTGTTTCGAGACGCAATTGAGCACATATGCAGAATTGTGCGGGTCATCTCACAACCGCGAGGAAACATGCTGCTCGTTGGAATCGGTAACGGGTATCTTGGCGAGTTCTTCATTACGTGCAGGTTTCAGGTGGTAGCGGACGCCAATCGCTTTCCCGGATTTCCTCTTACATATGCGAGTTGAACACCTTTCAGATAACGGTTACGAAGAACTACAAGGTGGTCGAGTTTCGAGAGGACTTGAAAACCCTCTACTCCGCGACTGGCGTGGATACAAAGCCGACGACCTTTCTGTTCAACGACACTCAAGTTACGGACGAGCAATTTCTGGAGATCATCAATAACATGCTTAGCAGCGGAGAAGTCTCCAATTTGTATAAACCTGATGAGTTTGAAGACGTAAGTAGTTATACCGGTTATACCTTACTTGTACGTACGTATACGAATTTTAGGTGAAAAATAAACTAACTGGCCCGGCGACTAAAGCGGGTGTGCTGCCCACCTCTGAATCTTTATATAATTTTTTAATCGAGCGAGTGAGAGAGAACTTGCACATCATTCTGTGTATGAGTCCTATCGGGAACGCATTCCGCGTACGATTACGTCAGTATCCGTCGTTGGTGAACTGTTCGACCATTGACTGGTTTTGCGATTGGCCCAAGGAGGCACTGTTGGAGGTCGCCCAGAAGTACATAGGGAACGTTAACTTTGTCGCGACAATTACTGGAGAAACACTTGTAATGCTCCAATATTCAAATCGTTAGTATTAACCTCTCTCCTAGGAAAAACGGAAAGAATCCGTGTTACTTTGCAGTCAAGACAGACTAAAGCAATCGGTGGCTTTCGCTTTTGCTACGATTCACGATTCTGTGGCCCGCTGCTCTAAGAGAATGGCGGAGGAGATGAAGAGGCGCAATTACGTCACCCCCACGAACTACTTGGAGCTAGTAGCCGGATATAAAATGTAAGACTGGGATCAATTTTATTTAGTTTCGAAGGCTAATTGATATGTCTGTGAAGTTGGCCTGGATAAATTAGCCCGGCAGCATCGCATCATGCTAGATCGTTAGTGCTTTGTTAGTGCTCGGTAGTGCCTCATAAGTTAACATAAGGGCTCAAACCGTTTTCTCAAAATAAATTTTTTTTTGTTCGGGTCAACTTCACGTTTGCCCGGACAATGGCTCCAATTTGCATCAAATTTTGTAGATCGTTAGTGCTTTGTTAGTGCATATTATAGTACTTCATTATTCAACGTCAGGACTCAAACCGTTTTCTCAGAATACTTTTTTATTTGTTTGAGCTAACCTCACGCTTTCCCGGACAATTACTCCAATTTGCATCAAATTTTGTAAATTGTTAGTGCTTGGTCAGTGCCTGTTGGTGCTTTATAATTCAACGTTAGGAGCCAAACCGTTTTTTTTTAATATAAATGTTGGGACGCAGACACTGATGGCGCGCAGGATTCTAGGCTAGGACTAGACGTTATAGGGCATACACAGATGAAATAAGTACAATAACATTGGTTTAATTTAGTTATACCTTATATTGTCCTACCTTCGACCTAATCTCTGCTTTGTATGGTCATCTACATTACATGATGCTTGCGGTCCAATGTCCACGTCCTAATGTCTCGCAGTCCAATGCCATAGTGCCGGAATTTCGTTTCAAAGGCAAAAATTTGTTTGATACATTTTAGAGCAAACCGTCTTTTTCATAATTTTTACGTTTTGCGTTTTTATTCAGTACTTGCCTTTACACATGATATGTAGCAAAATATGTTGTTAATAGTTCTCATCATTTGAAATTGCTTAATGGAATTTTCTCAAAAATAAAGCTTGTCCCCAACACAAAAATGTATTTTAAGAAAACGGTTTGGGTTCTAGCGTTGAATTCTAAAGCACTAACGAAGCACTAACGATTTATAAAATTTGATGCAAATTGGAGTCATTGTCCGGGCAAACGTGAAGTTAGCCCGAACAAATAAAAAAGGTATTCTTGAGAAAACGGTTTGAGTCCTAACGTTGAATTATGAAGCACTAATAAGCACTAACAAAGCACTAACGATCTACAAAATTTGATGCAAATTGGAGTCATTGTCCGGGCAAACGTGAAGTTGACCCAAACAAAAAAAAATTTTTATTTTGAGAAAACGGTTTGAGCCCTTATGTTAACTTATGAGGCACTAACGAGCACTAACAAAGCACTAACGATCTAGCATGGTGCGATGCTGCCGGGCTATTTTATCCAGGCCAACTTCACAGACATCTAATTGATATATTAACAGCATGCTCAGCGATAAACGTGCGGAAATCGCTAGCCAAGCAAATAAGCTGCGCAACGGTCTGTGGAAGATCGACGATTGCAGATCCAAAGTTGAAGTGATGTCGCAAGAGTTGGAGGTCGCCCAAGTCAAGGTGGCCGAATTTCAGCAGCAGTGTGACGATTACCTGGTGATCATCGTTGCTCAGCGCAAAGAGGCGGACGAACAGGCTAAGGAAGTCGCGATCACCAGCATTAAGATTGGAGAGGCCGAGGTGCAGTGCAAGAAACTAGCCGACCTGGCGCAAGCCGACTTGGATGAGGCGATGCCCGCCCTCGAGGAGGCCGTGCAAGCGCTTGATGCCCTCAACAAAAAAGATATTACCGAAATGAAATCCTACGGTAAACCACCCGTTAAAGTAGAAATGGTAATGGAAGCCGTGATGATTTTGAAGCAGGTAAATGCCATATTTAATTGCGCCTATTCAGATCAATGTTTTAGCTCGACCCGTCTTGGGCAGAAGCCAAGAAGCAATTGGGAGATCAAAACTTTCTAACGAATCTGAGAGAGTTTGATAAAAACAACATATCCGAAAAAACACTCAAGAAAATTGCGACCTACACATCCAACGAGGAATTCGTGCCCGACAAGATCGGTATAGTTTCCTTAGCCGCGAAATCCTTGTGCATGTGGGTGATCGCCATCGAAAAATATGCGAAGGTCTGGAAGTAAGCGCTAATCGAATTTTGTACTTGCCGGTTCAACTTTTTCTAGAATTGTAGCCCCAAAGAAGGCGAGGCTAGATGAGGCGCTCGAGTCGCTGAAACAGCAACAGAAACTGTTGGCGGCGGCTCACGCCAAATTGGCCGAATTGAATATGATGCTGGCGCGTCTTCAAAGAGAGTACGAGGAGAAGCTATTGCAAAAAGAAGAACTGAACAAGAAGGCCGAATTTTTAAGGTTGAAACTAGAACGCGCCGCAATGCTCGTTGAGAATTTAGCGGGCGAACGCGAAAGGTGGGACAGTACCGTTTTTACTCTCGATACCCAGTTTGTTTATTTGCCGGGCGACTGCTTACTAGCTACCGCTTTTATATCGTACCTAGGACCGTTTGTGTCTCAGTATCGTGATGGATTAGTTGAATTTTGGAAAGATCAGGTGGGTAAATATAAATATATTTGATTGGCGCCGATAATAATATTGTGCAGGTGATGGAGTTGGAGATTGCATTTGATTCGGAGTTTAACGTAAGCAAATTTCTCTGTGATCCCACCACCATTCGAGAATGGAATATACAAGGTTTGCCATCGCATGCATTTAGTACCGAAAATGGTATAATAGTAACGCGCGGTACGAGATGGCCTCTGGTGATCGACCCCCAAATCCAAGCGCAAAAGTGGATAAAGGCGATGGAGAGAAAGAATGGCTTGAAGACGATCGACTTCGGCATGACCGATTACATGAAGGTCCTCGAAGCGGCGATTCAAAACGGCAAGCCAGTCATTCTTCAAAACATTCTGGAAGAAATGGATCCGTCCTTAAATCCAGTCCTGAACAAGGACATTATCAAGCAGGGTGGAACCGAGTATATCAAGTTCGACGAAAAACTCATCACGTACAATCGCAATTTTAAGTTCTTTATCACCACTAAGTTAACCAACCCTCATTACCCCCCGGAAATATCAACCAAAACCACCTTGGTGAATTTTGCCGTAAAGCAGCAGGGATTAGAGGCGCAACTTCTTGGCGTCGTGATACGAAAGGAACGTCCCCAGCTGGAGGAGCAAAAGGACAAGATGGTAACGACTATAGCCCAGGGCAAGCGTACTTTGATCAATCTTGAGAATGAGCTACTGAGGTTATTGAACGAGTCAAAGGGGTCACTTTTGGAAAACGCCGAGTTGTTTAACACGCTGCAGGTGTCGAAGGCGACGTCGATGGCGGTGCAGAAAAGTTTAGAGGTATCCGAGGTGACAGAAATTCAAATTGACATCGCTAGGGAGGTGAGCGACGAGCGACGTATGGCAATTTCACGTCAATTTGTAGGGATACCGTCCGTGTGCCGAAAGGGCTTCCATTTTGTTTTTTGTTTTGAGCGACATGGGAAAGATTGATCCAATGTATCAGTTCGCCTTGGACTCTTACATTTTACTTTTCGCACAGTCCATCGACAAGAGTACCAAATCGAACCATTTACCCGATCGGATCGCCAACCTAAACGACTACCACACCTATGCCGTTTATAAGTAACCCATTTCGAAAGATAGTTAACGCGTAATTTATGTCGCGATTACAGAAATACCTGCAGGACGCTCTTTGAACGACACAAACTGCTGTTTTCGTTTCACATGTGTATCAAAATTTTAGAAGCCCAAGAGAAGATTATGGTCAACGAATACAATTTTCTGCTTAAAGGTGGTGTGGTACTAGATAGAGAAAATCAACCGGATAATCCATGCAGTAAAAAACTTTCATAGCATGTTAAAAAAAAAGTGGTAGACTGGTCAGTATTTTAGCATGGTTAAATGAAGAAAGTTGGGATAATATCACCGAATTGGATAAACTTCCAGGATTTCATGGCACCGTCGCCTCCTTCGAGCAGTTCACAAAAGACTGGCGTGAGTGGTATATCAACACTGAGCCGGAAACTTTACCTCTGATTGGTACGCGATTCGTACAAGGGTCGTCGCTGATGTTAAATTCTCATCGTCCTTTCTTTTACAGGGGAATGGGATGATATATGCGACGAGTTTCAGAAAATGCTATTCGTTCGCTGCATCCGTCAGGATCGCATATCGTTCTGCACGTCGAATTTCATAATCAACCAATTGGGGCCTAAATTCGTGGAACCTCCGGTGTTAGATGTTAAGGCCGTTTTCGAAGAGTCCCTACCTCAAACCCCTCTAATATTTGTACTGTCGCCTGGAGTTGACCCGACCAACGCCCTTATTACTCTCGCGGATAGCATGAGTATGAATGAACATTTTCAGTCGCTTTCTTTGGGTCAAGGACAAGCTCCAATTGCGACAAGGTACTCATTCATAAACGCTGCACGTGATTAATTGGTTTTTAGGATGATCGCTACCGGTACTAAAACTGGTGACTGGGTGTTTTTGGCAAACTGCCACCTGTCCCTAAGTTGGATGCCAAAGTTGGACAAAATAGTGGAAAATCTTCAAACGACAAAGGTTCATCCCAATTTTCGACTATGGCTCAGCTCAAGTCCGCACCCGGACTTCCCTCTCTCCATTCTGCAAGCGGGTATCAAAATGACCACCGAACCTCCCAAGGTATCTACCATAAATATTGTTCGTAAACTCATGGCGAAGTTCATAGGGAATCAAGGCGAATCTTAAAAGACTCTACCAAATTATCACCGAAGACCAGTTCAACTTATGCCAAGCTCGCGAAAAGTACAAACGGTTACTATTTTCACTTTGCTTTTTCCACGCCATACTCCTAGAACGCAAGAAGTTCCAACAACTGGGTTGGAATGTCATTTACAGCTTCAACGATGCTGACTTTGAGGTAAATTCACTACGAATAATTTTGGCAAACGCTAAGAACATAACTGTGCAGGTATCCGAGAATTTGTTGTCAATCTATTTAGATGAGTACCCAGTAACTCCCTGGGATGCCTTAAAGTATTTAATTGCCGGTGTCAATTACGGAGGGCATGTCACTGACGACTGGGACAGAAGACTTCTTCTCACTTATATCAACCAGTTCTTTTGCGAAGAGGCGCTCACTAACCCCTACCACAGGTAGGTAAACGAGCGAATTCGTTCGCTTCTATAAGAACGCCGCAGATTATCATCGTTGCCAACGTACTACATTCCACGGGATGGGTCCTTGGAGTCTTACCTTAACTACGTAAATGTTTTACCCAACACCGACCGACCTGAAACATTTGGCCAACATCCTAATGCAGATATAGCCTCCCTCAACTCGGAGACTCGGTCGATGTGCGAAACTTTAATGTCCCTGCAAATTCAAACGAGTAGCGGTACCGCAGAATTAAAGGAAGAAAAAGTACGTTTACCTTACGTACCATTGTCTGACGTGTAAATCCCAGGTTTCCCAAATGGCCGCAGATGTTTTATGTAAAATACCGTCACCCATCGACTACGAGACTACGGACAAACTAATTGGCGCTCATAAGACACCTTTGGATGTTGTACTTCTTCAAGAAATCCAAAGGTATTGATCAATCTTAGACAGTTATTATAAAACAGTCATTCACTCCTAGGTACAACGCCCTATTAATAGGCATACGCGTCTCCTTAAACGATTTGCAGAAGGGCATAAAAGGCTTGGTGGTGATGTCATCAGAGTTGGAAGATATTTTCGTGTGTATTGACGAAGGACGGGTCCCTTCACCTTGGTTAAAAAGTAAGTAGGTACATCGCCGCTGATGGAAAGTGCATTATAAATTTCAGCTTATCCATCACTGAAACTTTTGGGATCATGGACCAGAGATTTGGTCTTACGAGTGGATCACTTCTCACAATGGGCCGAAACAATTAAACCCCCTATGTTCTTCTGGTTGTCTGCTTATACTTTTCCTACGGGATTTCTAACTGCCTGTTTACAAGTAGGTAAAGCGGAAAACATGAGTAACATATTGCTGAACTATATTACAGGCAGCGGCACGCACTATGGAGGTGCCCATCGATATGTTAGGGTGGGAGTTTACAGTTCAAACCGTCGAAGAGTACGCCATCGTTGAGAAACCCTCATCGGGTGTGTACATCAAGGGCTTGTACTTGGAAGGAGGAGGTTGGGATAAAAAAACCTCAACCCTCATAGAACCCCAACCTATGCAATTGGTTTGCGCAATGCCTTTAATCCATTTCAAGCCGACGGAGCAGCTTAAAAAGAGAACCAGAGGTAGGTACGCATTATTCTTATTCCACAGATTTACATGCAAAATTGTTCAGGCCTTTACCAATGTCCGGCATATTACTATCCAATCCGAACTGGAATGCAGGGCTGGCCGGCGTTCATTGTAGCTGTCGATTTGAAATGTAGCAGCGAAGGATCGCACTACTGGGTCAAAAGAGGTACTGCGCTGTTGCTCAGCTTGTCCAACTAACTGTAGCCTACAACACTTAACTGTGTTCTTATTAACATAAGTAAATGTAAATGTAGCGTAAAGACTCGAAATAAACTCAAATTGCTACCATTAATCATTTTAATCAAAAGTTGAAGTTCTATATAGTAACAATTATAAGTTTTTAGTTTCTTTGCTTACGTATAATAGTTCATAGTTATTATCCGCTCATTTTGTTAACGAATTGTTTAACGCTATTTTGAAAACAAGTCTTAATGCATTTTTCAAAAATAAAGTTCGGTATTCAGATGTATCGGATTTTTATATTTGATTTTGTGACAATGGAAACTTTCCCTAAACATATCTAAATTGTTCTCAAATATTTGAATAACTTAAAAGTACTGCCTTTTTTTGAGGCCGGAAAAAAAAATTGTCTGAGATCGAGATCGATCGAGAGTCCATAATTTCAAACAGTTTGAAGATTGGGCTACTAGATCAAAAGTTACAGCCCTTTGAATTTTCTTTCGAAATTGGTTTCTAGTCTATAACTTTTGATTGAGAAGTCTGAATAAATGGTACTTCAAAATGTACGGAGTCTTGCAAGATCAGTAGAGCAATTGTAGTTTAAAGGCCCGGTTTTTGAATAGATAGATTAAATACAATAAGTACTAGTGCGCCAACTCCATGGCAATCGATACACATTCTATCAATTATAGTTTTAGAAGTCTAGTTGAGATGTCGCCACGTACGCACCTTCTTTTAAAATTTCATTTGAATTTATGCGATTAATAGCAACGTTGCACTTATTATTCCTTAAATGCAGTGCCGTTTTTAAGTTTTTCGGGGCCCTGGGCCATTCGTTCGTGGAGGCCCTCCTTACCCTCAATAAAAACGGCAGATTGGGGAGATTCAAGCAAATCCCTAATTTGAATATGGGCACTCGATATTTGTGTAGCCTGGTTTGTAGGCAACACATCATGCTCAATGAACAGAAAACATTTATTTTTGCAATTTGTAACTTCTTATGCATAGGAGTTTATTTAAAGCCCTTGGAAGAACAATTTCAATAACAGATACATTAAACTGAACCGTTTACAACAACTTTCACACGAAGATCGCACAAACAACAAATTTTTTCGTGATTGCAAACTGCGTAACACTTTTGCCTTATTTCGCTGCCAATTTCACTACCGTTTCTATAACCGTAGTTCTATCAAATAAACTCTAGGCTCAATTCTTTAAAGAATATCTTCGCACCATCGCCAGCTGCTGCAATCATGTAATCGTTCCGATTTTAACCTTGAGAAGTTTGAATTGCATTAGAATGGGTTTTCTGCGAGTTCTCCACGGTGTTCTCTTGTTTTGGTTACAAAGCATTTCCCTTTTCAATTTGTGTTGTCTGAATTCAATGCTAACGTGTCTCATCCATCGAGAACTACATGTCTTCGATTGCACGACTCTGAGCGAACAGTATCATATTCAGTAAAGGTTGAGTTTGCTATGATCATTGAATTTATAACTATTATAAATTCAATGCTATGATTTTAAAAAAAACTCAGGCAAGCCTATAAACATTTTGGGATTTGTGCCTTTGGCTGTCAAAGGAGTAAACCACGAAAGTGGCCTGTAGAATCCATAATTTCAAACAGTTCCAAGATTGGGCTACTAGTTCAAAAGTTACAGCCCTTTGAATTTTCTTTCGAAATTGGTCTATAACTTTTGATTGAGAAGTCTAATCGAAAAAGTACGAATTGGTTTGGATTCTACGCACCAAAATTAATAAGAAAAAGTGTTTTCAAGAGAAATTTTGGTGCAGTCGATTTTTGGTAAAAAAGGAAGGTTGTACACTGCCTTTTTTTGAGGCTCGAAGAAAAATTGTCTCAGATCGACCCGGAAAAAAAATTTTCTTATAGAATGTGGCCGGTAGAATCCATAATTTGAAACAGTTCCAGGATTGGGCTACTAGTTAAAAAAAATGTCTTTCGTGGACCGCAATGCGTGAAGATTGATGAGAAAAAAAACAGACTACGCATTGTAGAGTTTTTTATGTAGGTAACTACAAATTTACTATATTACTGTAGGGCAGGTAAGATTTGTCTAATTCTCTTATACGCTCATTAAAGTCATTGGCGAAATTCTACCCCAGCTCATTTAGCATTGAAGGGCCCAGGTTTATTGTCAATACAGAATTTCCTACCAAGCTTTATAAAGGTATTTTTATGGAGTTATTCGTTAATTTTTATTTATTACACGGTCTATGTGTGTCTACATTAATTGTAGTAATAAGATTAGGTATGTATTGCTTTGAATGGACGGGAAAAAACCCAAATTTATTCAAAAACATAATCAAACCAGTGCATATACTGAAGGTCGGCCAGTCTACACTTTACATCTTTAGGAACAAAAACGTGCTTTTTTGCTAAATAATTTGAAAGATATGTAGCGCTGTGTGTAAACAATTCGGGTAGTTAGTTCATCGCGAGCCTTTATCATGACGACAGTAATAATCAATAAGAAATCCGGTGAAAAGCCAATCACGTAAGTAATAATATTAGCATTTATTGTCCCTTTGTTGTTAACAATTTGTTTTTTTTTGACGTCATAAAATAAATGGGAAAATTGCCATTGTGCACCTTCGACCGCTATTCAAATGGCACTAAATGAATATAGATAACGTCATTTTCAAGAGTTTCCAAACAAGTGTCTACTGTTTTCACATGGTGTAAAGAACCTTTACGCTATGCACATGGAATACGAATATAAAATAATTTCGTTTTTTAATTAAAATCTAGAATGACAATGCAAAATGCGTGCGCATGTTATTTCGGTTGCATAAAATTAGGCGTCTTTCAGAAGCATTTTTGTTATTTAAAAGTATACGTAGGAAATCCCTATGTCTATTTCTCAATGAATAGCACTGTAGGTATATTAGCTGGACCACTGTTAATAATGGCGAATGTAAATCCGAAGAGATATTGAAAAAATTGTATGAACACTTGTCGTACACACTTTTCAATCTTTTGAATTCATTCGATCGCCATGACGTTTACTATCAATCTCCTATTAAGCATGCATTGCATTACATCTTGTCAAGATTTTGCTAATCACTGGTACCGTGTTCAGTCCCCGAACCCAAACACCCCCTTGCACATCAGTATGAAAGTGACATCAGCAAAGTTTTTTTTTCTAGCTCTCACCATGAAACCGCGGCAACGCAAGCTAGAGCCCTCCTTCAGCTAATGGCCGACTTCATCGTGCTCATCTTCCATGTACTTTGGCTAGTGATCCTTGGCACTTACCGACTATTTTCACCGGGCCCAAAGAAATCCGTCCAAGGAGAGAAAGTTTTGGTGAGCATTTGATTCACCAAGATACAATCGATACTTTCGCTTTTGTAGATTACGGGAGCCGGACATGGAATCGGCAGAGAACTTGCATTGCAATACGCATCTCTCGGTGCTATTGTGATTGGGTGGGATGTTAACGGTGCAATTTTAAACGAGACGATTGAAGAAATCGCAAAGATGAATGAATTATCCAAAGGCGTATTCGTACACGTAGGAGGTTGCGTTAAAGTATTTGGAGATGTATAGCCTTGGATTTTGTAGATGCAACGTGACAAATAGAGAAGAAGTCATGAAAACTGCAGGCAAAGTGCAAAATGACATTGGATCTGTTACTATATTAGTAAATAACGCCGGTATAATGCCTTGTCATCCGTTTTTAGAACACTCGGCTGAAGAAATCGAGCGAGTCATGAATCTTAACATCATGGCTCACTTTTGGGTATCTAATGTTATTGCTAACTATCACTAAATCTTACAAACTTTCAGACGTTGCAAGCATTTTTACCAGACATGATAAAACATAATCACGGCCATATAGTAGCGGCACAGATTAAAATACTCAGCGGTATCATCTGTCGCAGGTCAAGCCGGTCAATTAAACATTGTACCGTACAGCGCATCTAAATTTGCGGTTAGAGGTGCAATGGAGACCCTTCACGTCGAACTTCGATCGCGGCCAGGCAACAAAATTAGACTGACTACAGTTTATCCGTATATGGTAAACACAGGGCTCTGCAAGCAACCAGTGATTCGGTTCAAAAGTTTCTTGCCACTTGTTAATCCTGAGGCTGCGGCAAAGCACATCATCGATGCCCAAAGGAGAGACATCATTGAAGTTACTATCCCAGAATTTCTCTTAAGCTTAGGATGTTTTTTGAGGTACCAACTTGTGAAGTTGCGGTTGTAAACTTGTTTTGTTTTAGAATGTTTCCGTCCAAAGTTCTATTTCTTGCCATGGATTTCATAGGTTCCTATCTAGAATCGGACAAAATTTGATGGAGGACGTAAGTTACGTTGCCATGCCGTGCGAGCCTCTTATAAACTGCTTCCCTGATGTGCAACAAGATATAGTGATAGATAAATAGTGGCATTCATTCGTAATACTACAGTACTTAATAAATAAAAATGCGATCTATTTTGTAAAATACCTTTCTCGCCATTATACAATAATTATGGTTATTTCATATATTCTATTAGAATTAAGATGCAGATTTGCAGAAATAATCTAGGCCATAATTCTATTCATCCTGTTTGTATTGTTCAATTATTTAGTTCAATTTTTAATTATTTTTTAAGAGATCCTAAAATTTGCATTAAATGGAAAGTAGACATAGATTTCCTATTATCTGTCTACTTTTACATGATAGTCTCCTGAAAGACGCCTAATTTTATGCAACCAAAATAACTACCTACAACAAAATGAGGATCTGCCTGTCATATTAATTATTAATTTGTGTATTATCGCTTTGACTTTCGTATTCTAAACTTCGTTCATGTGCGATGTATTCAACTAAAGAAAAAGTTGATATTTCCAATTGGTATAGTGCCGATAACAGTTATAGGAGCTTAAAAGATTATTTTCTGTGAAGCTAAAGCAACAATATTCAAATTAATAATTAATATGAGGCCGGGACATTTCGCTGAATGCCCACAACGCCGACACGATTTTTTGAAGGTCCATATCGCCGACTAGGGACACTACGCCGACCGTGCCCACATCGTCGACAAGTGTGCAAGGGACACAACGCCGACCATGCCCACTTCGCCGACGGACACTACGCCGACCGTGCCTACATCGCCGACAAGTGAACAAGGGACACTAAGCCGAACGTGACCATAACGTCGACTCATACAACACTTCTTAATCAAGCTGGACGGTGTGCAACACCAAGTAGCTTTTGACGTTAGGTTATTGTAGGTTCAGAATATTTTTTTTAACTTTTTTCGAACTACAGACTCATACGAAAATTCTTAATCAAACTGGACGGAGTGTGAAGCAAAGCAGCTTTGGATATTAGGTTATTTGTAGGTTTAGGACATGTTTTATAAACTTTTTAAAATGCAAACTCATACACTGGACAGAGTATGAGTTTGCATTTTAAAAAGTTTAAAAAACATGTCCTAAACCTACAAATAACCTAATATCCAAAGCTGCTTGCCTGCCTGCATCCCTTGCACACGTTTCGGCGATGTGGGCACGGTCGGCGTAGTGTCCGTCGGCGAAGTGGGCATGGTCGGCGTTGTGTCCCTTGCACACTTGTCGACGATGTGGGCACGGTCGGCGTAGTGTCCCTAGTCGGCGATATGGACCTTCAAAAAATCGTGTCCGCGTTGTGGGCATTCGGCGAAGTGTCCTAGACCCATTAATATGACAGCCAGATCTTTATTTGTTTCAAGAGGTTATTTTGGTTGCATAAAATCAGGCGCCTTGTTATGTAAAAGTAGACATAGGAAATCCCTACGTCTACTTCTACATGAATATCACGGTTTTCTGAAATTGAATTAATTTGAACGATTGCTTTCAACCATTCATTTGTTGCAATCGACAAACAAACTCACTCTGGGTGTAAATACCATTGCATTGACTGCAAATAAATAAACATTTTATACATCTGATAAAAGAAATGAATGAATAATCCCGACAATCTACCAGTACTTCATTTATTTTCTCAGTGTAAAACAGCTACAACTATGCAGTATAAACCAAATTAATATTTTGACTTATGTAACATAAAATTTACAGGGTTTTCTTTTTACTCATTCGATGCGTGTTCAATGTACATTTCATTTGATGCCTTTATTTCTTTGGGCCAGTCTAAATGAATGGCAATAACATCTAATGCAATAATGTCGACGGCATCACCAATAATGTCACCAATGCTCGGTTTTGTACGACCGAAATCTCCATGTACAAATTCTTTTACATAAGTTCCCGCTTCTGTTTCCAGCAACAACTCAAAAAGCTTCGTCTTATCTGTAAAAGACTGGCTAGATAAATACGTCAAAAATTCTACATTACTAACCGGGTACCAAACGAGCTTCCATACGTAAAACGTTTTTCTTCCTGACTGCTAGAGGTCGCCTGTGTAGCACCCGCACGGGCGTTTTCTGCTCTAACGTAATCTTGCCGTAATTGTTTATTTTGTCAATCTGTTCCTGCGTAATGGTGTCTTTCGTTAAGCATAGAGCTATATACTCTTTCGTTTTCAGCTGCTCGCCCTCTTTAATCTTACCGAGTTCCGATCTACACCAAAATATTTTAAAAGGAAAATGAGTTAAGGGAGTACCTTTGTACACTTTGCAGATCACGGACTTCTATAAGACGAGATTTATTTATATCGGATTCAAGTTTTCGAAATTCGTCGTCTGTAAAAAGGGTTTTTTTCGGATCCAATATCTCAATATAGAATGGTCTTCCTTTTCCTAAACATCGAACGTCACAATCCTCTCGACCGCTCGAAGAAAACTTCAAGTTTGTCAAAGGAATACTAAAAACCTTATTAATTTGTTCAAAAATTAGTTCTTCAACTGACGTATCCATCGCTTTAATACCGTCCACGATCCAGGGACTTTGACTTAACTCTCTCGAAAACTTACAATAACGGCCTGCTATGTAAATGGAATTGTGTTTGCAATCGATCCGTCTACACGTCAAATATACTGAAGGGATTACAAGGGGATCCTTTACAATGTCATGAAACTTCTCAGACATGCAATTTGATAGAATGCTCAAAATTGCTTTTCGACTGGAGAGATCGCCATTCTTAATTTTCTCGCTTAATTGTTTCACTATGCGTATCTCCTTGAATAAAAGGGTGAGCTTACGAGTACGGGAGGAATACATACTTGATCATTATCGGCATAGTCCATTACAACATTAATCGAAAAATTACAAATATCAGAATTTTCAAAAGCGATACCGAGCTTTTCACTTATTTTATCTTTTATTATTAATTTCCACGCTTTATTTAATGGTATTTCTTCTATGTCTAAAAGCAAAGTAAGTCGTCATATAAAAGGGTTTAAAAAACAGACCATCTAAATAGAATTCGGCAAACTTCTGTCGTAAGTCCAAGCGCATTGCATGTTCTCTAACTATTGCAGCCGGTGGAATGCTAATAGAACAAGTAAATACCTTCGTATCATACTTTTGCACTTCTGATACGACGATTCTGTCAACAGTATCATCTATGACGCAATTTTGCAATAGGCCCAAGCATAAACAGCATGGATTCGATTTGGGTTGTTTGACTACGGGCTCCTCTGTGTCGATGGTAGACAGGTTTTTCTAAAAGATCAGTAAAAACGAATCGCGGTAAAAGAATAAGGGCTACCTTTTCTATGTATTGGTTAACGTTTTTGAAGTCTATATTGCGGTCCTGTAAATATCGTAACCCACAGTATTTGCAGCATCCCTGGTCTAATAAATAGTGATAGATTTTTCCTTCCATTTCAAAACTCGGCACGTTAATTTGAGGTTATGATTACTTATCCATGTCACTATTTATAATCTGATTGAAGGCATTTACTACACGATCGCGCCACTTTTCATACTTACCACTAACGTGTGACGTCATGACACCTTAATGTTGACTTTAAACCATTCTTCAGGAACAAAAACTCTTTTTAATCCCTTGTTACTTAATATACTATTTTTTATACGTACGTCAAGGTCAAATGCTACTTCTGTGATCATATTCAAACAGCGAAGTATCGTTTCGTTACTGGGAGCAGAGAAGCGGAAAACGCTTTTCACCATTGAATTGATAGTTATAAATTCAATGTTTTCACTTCTCTGCTTTTGATTTCTTGTCTTGATTTGTCAGCGAAAACTCACTTCTCGCCCTTGGTAAACAATATGCTATTATTATTACAAAACAAAACACTATAGTCATTGTTGAAATACTTTAATTTAAACAATGCTTATTAAATCTGTGCTATTAGTCAGGAAACGGTTGGAATTTCATTGGTTTACTTTATAAATATGAATACCTCATACCGTATGATTATTAAGCTTTTTATGTTATCAATTATAACGACAAATTTATTATGCCACAAAGACATAGGGAATAGGATTTTGGTCATTTCCCGCTTATATTCAATAGTTAGTTGTTAGCTGTCTAGTAGCGGTTTCCTTCGGGCGGTAAGTGAACTATTACGTTTCTAATGCGTAGTTCACTGTAAGAGGGCGCTACTAGCATTCATTTCACGTGTCGGTACGTTGAAACCGTTTTTTTTCTCTATTGAAAATGCGTTCAAAATGGAAAGTGGAAACGTCTAGCCCCATACGAGGAAAACCTATCTTCTGTATTACACGTATTCGCCTGGTGAGCCAATTGAATTTTTTTTCCGACACATTATTACGGGGCAATCAGGGTTTTTATTATTTTCAAGGGAAGTTTAATGGTAGGTTTATCTCAGATTTAGAGCATTTAATGAAATGCGTCCCCATAAGAATATCATGAAGTTATTGCGTAAGTTATACCTAGGGCACGGGATCAGTTATTTAGGAGCTGTTCATATCGCACGGAATCAATTGTAGAGCTCGATTAAATCACAAAGAATCTAAACTCTATTATGGGGTGGTCGAGTATACTTGGATTCAGCCCCCCCCCCCCCCCCATTGAATTACATTTTTCAAATTACAATTTATACTGGAATTACGAGCTATTTAAGAGCTTTCATTTACAAGTAACTACAATTTTGAGCAAATAGATACAGGGTGTAAATCGTAAAGTGGAACATAGGCGTTTAACATGGGAAATTACTTTTTCGTTGCGCAAAAGTTTTCTTACGCAAAAATACTTCAAATTAAAGTTATAGAGTAGATATAAATTCTGCATCTAAATCATGTGAAACGATTATTCTATATACCTCTTCTTGTACGCGAAAAAATTAATTATAAAGATTTTGTGTTCACGAGTTTTTAGTCTAAGTAGCCATGGACTATGATAAAAGAAAAACATAGTCCAAAACCAATCTAGGCACGTTTGTTTCTGAGATACAGGGTGAAAACCAACAGTATAACTTTTTCGGGAGGTTATCCCATATAAAATAGAAAAAAGGTTAAAACTTTTTTAGATATTTTTACGTAGAATCCAGAGACCTAGTTAAAAAAATATTTGTTGACCCTCCGTTTCTGAGATATGACCCAGTATTGGTATTTTCTTAATGCAACACCGTATATATTTTCACGTTAGTTAATTGGATTCGTTTTCCTGATTACATTTATGTATCAGAACCTATATTTTTCTAATAATTATTTATGTTATATCATATTTTGACCGTCTACCGTCAAGATATTTGTATTGATTGTTATCGGCTGCCATGAGTACACTAAAAAAAAAGAATCTCTATGAATATATCGTCTTCTATTTAAAAACTATAAAATAAGGTTTTTATTTTTGACTAAAATTAAAAAAAAAACATAGGTAATAAGCACATTTCGATAAATCATAAGCGATCAGTTTCACATATTATTTTCATTGCCGTGAAGGTATAAATGTTTACAGTGTTTATAATATTATATATACAGAGTGCCCATTATGTAAGATAATAAGGCAGCATTCCATTGTCTGTATTTCAGAAAACAAATGAATAACGAAAAACAATTGAATTTTTTTAAAATAGCAATGCACACCTTCATTTGATAGAAATTGTTTTTCTCTTTTCAATGACCAGCACGTTAGCACCCGTTTGGCAAAAATTAATTTTTATGTGAAGATTTTTGTGAGAGCTTATGCCACTGCCGCCTTTTGTTCGGTATTCAGATGTATCGGATTTCTATATTTGATTGTGTGACAATGGAAACTTTCCCTAAAATTGTTCTCAAATATTTGAATAACTTAAAAGTACTGCCTTTTTTTGAGGCCGGAAAAAAAAATTGTCTGAGATCGAGATCGATCGAGAGTCCATAATTTGAAACAGTTCTAAGATTGGGCTACTAGATCAAAAGTTACAGCCCTTTGAATTTTTTTTCGAAATTTTTTTTCTGTCCATAACCTTTTATTGAGAGGTCTAATCGAAAACGTACGAATTGTTTTGGATTCTACGCACCAAAATTAATAAGAAAAAGTGTTTTCCCGAGAAATTTTGGTGCAGTCGATTTTTGGTAAATAAGGAAGGTTATACACTGCCTTTTTTTGAGCCCCGAAAAAAAATTGTCTCAGATCGACCCGGAAAAAAAAATTTCTTATAGAATGTGGCCTGTAGAATCCATAATTTCAAACAGTTCCAAGATTGGGCTACTAGTTCAAAAGTTACAGCCCTTTGAATTTTCTTTGGAAATTGGTTTCTAGCCTATAACTTTTGATTGAGAAGTCTGATCGAAAAAGTACGAATTGTTTTGGATTCTACGCACCAAAATTAATCAGAAAAAGTGTTTTCCCGAGAAATTTTGGTGTAGTCGATTTTTAGTAAAAAAGGAAGGTTATACACTGCCTTTTTTTGAGCCCCGAAAAAAAAATTGTCTCAGATCGACCCGGAAAAAAAATTTTCTTATAGAATGTGGCCTGTAGAATCCATTATTTCAAACAGTTCCAAGATTGGGCTACTAGTTCAAAAGTTACAGCCCTTTGAATTTTCTTTCGAAATTGGTTTCTAGTCTATAACTTTTTATTGAGAAGTCTGATCGAAAAAGTACGAATTGTTTTGGATTCTACGCACCAAAATTAATAAGAAAAAGTGTTTTCCCAAGAAATTTTGGTGTAGTCGATTTTTGGTAAAAAAGGAAGGTTATACACTGCCTTTTTTTGAGGCCCGAAAAAAAAATTGTTTCAGATCGACCCGGAAAAAAATTTTCTTATAGAATGTGGCCTGTAGAATCCATAATTTCAAACAGTTCCAAGATTGGGCTACCAGTTCAAAAGTTACAGCCCTTTGAATTTTTTTTCGAAATTGGTTTCTAGTCTATAACTTTTGATTGAGAAGTCTGATCGAAAAATTACGAATTGTTTTGGATTCTACGCACCAAAATTAATAAGAAAAAGTGTTTTCCCGAGAAATTTTGGTGCAGTCGATTTTTGGTAAAAAAGGAAGGTTTTACACTGCCTTTTTTTGAGCCCCGAAAAAAAAATTGTCTCAGATCGACCCGGAAAAAAATTTTCTTATAGAATGTGGCCTGTAGAATCCATAATTTCAAACAGTTCCAAGATTGGGCTACTAGTTCAAAAGTTACAGCCCTTTGAATTTTCTTTCGAAATTGGTTTCTAGTCTATAACTTTTGATTGAGAAGTCTGATCGAAAAAGTACGAATTGTTTTGGATTCTACGCACCAAAATTAATAAGAAAAAGTGTTTTCCCGAGAAATTTTGGTGTAGTCGATTTTTGGAAAAAAAGGAAGGTTATACACTGCCTTTTTTTGAGGCTCCGAAAAAAAATTGTCTCAGATCGACCCGGAAAAAAATTTTCTTATAGAATGTGGCCTGTAGAATCCATAATTTCAAACAGTTCCAAGATTGGGCTGCTAGTTCAAAAGTTACAGCCCTTTGAATTTTCTTTCGAAATTGGTTTCTAGTCTATAAATTTTCTTATAGCAAATATTAGATTAGAATTTATTTCCATATTTAAAAAAACCACCGTACCAAGTCGTAACAGCCATAACATCTAGGTAGGTAGCCGTTGTTCGAGATTAAGTCGCTTATCGACTATTCTATTCAATTATCAATTATCTTGTGTTTCAATTCTCACCACAAATTTGGGTTGAATTCGTTGGGTTAAAGGTAAACCTTTAGGTTATATATTTATGTGAACCGAGTTACACAGGGTGCGGATAAATAGCCGGCTGTTTCCCAGGACCCTTGAGCGCTTTTAATTAGCCCTTTCCTGTTTTAAGAACAACTGTGGTGAAGTGGAAAAGACGAATAAACCTCTCTCTTGCTCGTAATAACAGATTTTCCTATTTTGTAGACTGCATTTCTCATACCTCGATCAATGAAATTGAATTTTGTACAACACGCATTAACTTCCTTTTGATTAAACGACCTTGCCGCCATTTTGTTTAAATTATTATCAACTGTCATAGCATTTTGGAACAGCTTACTCCGGCTGATCAGCAGAGTCAAGTGCTTGGGGGATCTGGCGCCCTGAGCAAATAAGCAATCGTCAAACAGCAAGATAAGTACCCTTAGGCAGCTTACACTTTTTGTGTACAGGAATACCCGCGACCTGCTGACGCTAGCTGGTGGATGGTCATCTCCTTTTAAGCATGACTTATTTTAAGTAGTAAGCGCTACAATACATAGATTATTATCATCTGAATTATCATTCATACTACCAACAAAATGTAGTATAAGTGTATTTTCAAAGAAAACGAATTTCTTCAGCGGGGGGTATTGCGGACACAGGAAATTATTTCGCCCGCCCGCTCTGTAGATTTATTGGCCCGCGACCGATACAGAGAGTAGAGAAGTTATTCATAATCAAAGGCAAAAATGAAATTTAGAACGAAAGGGTACGCATAAATGCAAAGATGTGGGGCGATTTTGTAATTTAATTGCGGCCCAGGTGGCAC